AAAGAGCTTTAAGTGAAAAAAAAAATCGTCAAGATTCGTTGAAAAACAACGGAGTTACAGACTGTCAAAGTTGACGGCCGATTGTTAAACAAATTAGGTTGGTAGCGGCAAAAAAAACCCGAATACTTTCCCAGGTAAAAAATATTTTATTTGTGGAAGTATGTTAAGTGCATAAGAAATATTGTCAAAAGTCAGTGGGTCGCTTGATTTTCGGCGAGCCAGAAGGGTGGGAGAAGCGAACGACAGCGAGTCCGAAGAAAATGACGATAATATTCATAGTCCTGTCGTTAAATAAGGGAAATTCGCTATAAAATAATATATTTGACAGTCTGTAACTCCGTTGTTTTTCAATGAATCTTGACGATTTTTTTTTAGCTTAAAGCTCTTTTCATAAGCTTACCGAATATGTAATAATATATAACTATATCACGCTCGTACGTCGTATATTTTATTTTGCAACTAAGGCTAAAAAATAAAAAATAAATTCCAGGTTGCAAATTTGAAAATAAAAAAAAAAGATAGATTTCAATGTATTATTATGAAATCTACCATGAAAAAAATCAGTGCAATTGTGGAAGATCCTCGGGATTGTCCAGACTAATAATTGATTAATATGTTTATAAGGCCATAACTTGTAAACTATTCAACTTACCGATTCCAGATTTCGTGTGAGTTATTAGACAGTGATAAGGAATGAGAGGATGCGATGCCAAAACGTTCTGGTAATAATAACGCAGTTTATAAATGTTTAATTCAAAAGTCATAAATAAACTTCTTCTGTTTATAACTTTTGATCTAATCAATATTTTTTTACGCTCAAGGATTAGTTTTGTAGGTCTTTTGAAGACGAAAAAAGTACTTTACTGTTTTCTCGTGGAAACGAACGGAAAAAAGTTATAAGCGGAAACCGTGATTTACGTAAAAATTATACAATTAACCAGCCTGTAAACAATCTTCGCCTCGTTTTTATGACTGTGGAAACTAATATGTTATTGTACATAATATTTAGCATCTATAATGATAAATTCAGCTTGCCAAAACAAAAAGTCGCGTCCAACTCTATATTTCCTGTACTAATAAGGCTAGTTTTGTCAACTATTATCTACTAATTACTTATTGAATTGAACTACAAAATGTTATTATTAGAATATAAGAGGTGGGGTATAAAGAATAACATGGTGTAATACCTATTTAACTCGTTTTTCACCAAAACTGGATAAAACAAATTCTGCATCTACCGGCTTCAGATTTTATGTTGATGAACAGTTACAAGAAATCCTGAAACGAATGAAATTCGCGATCACGCTGATATTTTCAGGATTTTTTTGCGGTCCTGCGTCATGTAATTCAAACCGAAATCTAATTAATTTGACTAAAAATGCTTTTTAATGCCATGAAGATGATAATGGGCACAATATAGGCGTTGAATGGAAATTTCCAAGCCAATCCACGAAATCCACCTCTTCTAAAAAGCAGAAATTTATGTTTATGTTTCAGGTAAAGAAGATGGCGAGCAGTTTTAACCACGACGACAAAAAATCGCCGTACAACAAGATAACCAATGAAGAACTAACTAATAATTCTCCTAACAAGTTTTCTCATTATAAAGCGAGCGATTGGTCGAATAACGGCCAGACGGAGCTGAAATCCACAACAATAACTATCCCCATTGTAAAAAATAACAACGTGGTGGATCTATTTTGGAACGATCAGCCAGAAAAGGAGATAAAACGACACTCGATAGCTGTAGATGAATCTAAGTACGTCATGAAAAACAACGAGAATAAATTCCGCAGGACGAGCTTGGCTCTGAACGACCAATACATGAAGCAAGAAGACGATGATAGTAATGGGAACAGGAAACAGAAGAAGGTGGAGTTCTGCAAAACGGAAGTGCATTTTGCTGCGGAATCCGGCAAAGTTAACATCGTCGCCACAGACGAAAAACCGCCACCCACTCAGAACTTCAGGAGACGTCGTAGAATCACTGGATTCCTGAACGAAGATTTTAACAAAAATGGCTTGCCCGTGTTACATTTCGGAGACAGTTCTTACGAAAAAACGATGTTCGGTCTTCCAGACGATTTGCCAGATACAAAAACTACAACTTTCACATCCGTTTACGAAAACGAACAGCCTAGAGTCCCTTCAGCTTTCGGGGTAGTTACAGTTAATACTAATAACAATGCTAACAATGATTTTATGGAGGAGGACAAGAGGGAACAAAGCGAAAACGAGAGCATTAAAGGCATCCTGAAGAACAAACCGATAAAACCGAGACCTTATCACCTCGGAGAAACGGTACCATTCCCGGAAACATATTCTGATGAGGACCCTAAGAATTGGGGAGTCAAACTTAAACACGTGGACGTTGATGAGACTCCCATATGGAAGTCTACAGTAACCGTTCACAATTACTACGATAAACAGCCTTCGAGTGACATCAATGACAACGACCAAGAACAACCGGAATTCCAAAAATTGTTGAAAAACCTCCGACCTACAAGGAAAATCGATTACGCAAGTGACAACGACAAGTATTCGGAGAGTTTTTCAAGTATCAGAGTTGTTCCTGCACAGATAGACAACAGGTCATCTTGGTCCATGACAGATAAGACAAAATCAACGGAAGATAATCAGAACACCGAGAATAGGGGATATTCGACCAGAGTCAATTTTGGGGAAGGAGAAGCCACGGTGGTGGAGAGCGACGGCTTGTATGATAAGGAGAGACATCCTACTTGGCCTAGAGTAGAGAATCCAACGAAAGGTAAGAATTTTTAACCAAGCACGGTGTTCAGTAGATTAATATTTAACAGTAGAAGCCTGTAAGGTAGATTGTAGTACATTTGATCACATTTCCTTATAAATACTAACAAATTTGATGTACAGGGCGTTCCTTAAGTTGAGGTTTTCCCTTTAACGCGACACAAAACACAACAAAGCAGAGCAAATTTTTCAAATAACACTTTTCGAAATCTTACAATTAACAGAAAAACCATTTGAAATAATTAGATTACATCGCTGTGAAACACCGTATCATAATATTAAATTGATAGTTGAAAATCCAAAAAATAATTTAGGAATTAGCTGCGTTATCATAGTATAGTTCTTTTATTGTTTCTGTCTTATACTTCGGTATTTGTGATATTAGCGTACAGGGAGTGTCGTCAAAATGCTGTTATAGCATCGCGATTGTATGCAGGGCTTTGTTCACTTATTCAAAAGGTTTGAGAAACAAGACACCTACAGGGAGACGTAAGCCACTTAAAATGTTTGGACTACCATTATTTTAATGGTGTCCTTATTGATCCTTTTAAGTACCAGTTTAAATTATCTACATCTTTTTATAACTTAACCAAGCTTATAAATGTTATTGTTTGTATTAAAAGGAAAACCCTAACAAAAAATACCCTTTATTTTGATCTCTGTATTCTACAGGGTGTCCGGTAAGTACCTCCTAATCTCTCGGGAGTGTATAGGGGAGGTCAAAATAAAACTAGTCCTTCCTATAATTTTTTTTCCTAATGTGCCCCCTAACGGAGTTATGGGGGGTCAAAGGGGTACCTAGAAATTAACGTTTAGGGTTATAACTTTGAAACCACCCTGTATATTTTAATAAAATTTTCGTACGTTGTATTACACATGGAGCTCTACGATTTGATGCTAAAATCAACTTTTTGCTATTATCAGGTGTCCAGAAACGGACTGGCCCTATCACAATTTTTCTCAAAATTTTGACAGAAGTAATTTTATCAAACTGAAAATATTATTATTAGATACTCTGAAGGTTTTTCTTTAAAAATGGTACTCTTTATTTATTTCGAAAAAATGAACGGTTTGCGAGATAAATCGGTTTTGAAAAAAATTGGTAACAAATACAACAACAATTAAAATTTATTTTTTTTACATATTATTTCATGCATTTAATTTCTTTAACTTTATCAAGTCCAGAAATCTTTGAACGGGTTGGCTATACTTTATGAGCAAGTAGTGACCAATTAAAAATAACATTTGAAAAATAACTTACTTACAAGACATGCAACAAAGAACATTCAACAATGAACAAAGGTACCTAAATGTTACTTCGGTAGATGTTCAAAATGAGCACCCCGTACTTCAATGCACTTTCTAATCCTACGAATGTTTTCCCGGTGCACTTGAAATAATATTCCGTGATTATTGCGGAGATGGTCACAGTTCTGTGTTAGCCTCAGCAGAAGTTCCTCTCTACTATTTACGGGTGTTGAATAAACGTTATTTTTTAAATGACCCCACAGAAAAAAGTCTAATGGGTTTAGGTCGGGCGACCTAGGTGGCCATAATACAGGTCCGCCTCGACCTATCCATCGATCACCAAAAACATTCGTCAGATGTTGACGTACTAAACGATCAAAGTGGGGTGGTGCACCGTCATGCATGTACCACATTTCAGTTCTTATTTGAAGGGGCACTTCTTCTAACAAAATATTTAGATTTTCCTCTAAAAATTGCAAATAAAGAGCACCATTAAGTCTTTGCTCCAGAATAAATGGACCAATCAAATGATTCCCGATAATGCCAGCCCACACATTCACCATAAACCTTTGTTGGTAGCGAGTTTGAACTAAAGCGTGAGGGTTTTCTTCATCCCAGACATGTAGATTATGCGAATTAATTATGCCGTCTCTTGTAAAACCTGCTTCATCGGTGAACAAAATAGATGTACCAAAATTATGATTCCGAATATGATGCTGTAAAAACCAATTGGCGTATTGAAGTCTTTTTGGATAATCATCTGGAGACATAGCATGTACTTTTTGGATGTGGTACGGGTAAAGCAATTGTTCTTTCAGAGTTTCATGTACAGCCCATTTTGTAACATTGTTTTGCGCCGCAAGCTTCCTTATGCTATTTGAAGGATTATTAGCAACGTCTTCCAATATTTGTTCCTCTACATGAGGGTCTCGTACTCTCCTCGGGGCTCCTGCTCCACCACGGCGTGGCAAAAAGCTTCCTAAATAAAGGATTCGGAAGAAATTAGTTTCACTAACGTTTTTCACTATTTTTTTTTACCTGTTTCTCTTAAACTACGATCAACTCTTTCAAAAGTTTTTGGACTCGGCAAATGTCGACCCGGAAACCTTTCCTCATAAAGTCTTCTTGCCTCCACGGAGTTGCATAATGCTTCCCCATAAATTAGGTGCATATCAGCATATTCTGCACAGGAATATTCTTCCATTTTTAAATGTTATTTCTAACGGCTTAAAACGAATACCACAATAAAATTGAATTTTTATTCTGTCACGCGCCTTTGACAAGTACTTTAAAATCAACAGGGTCTAACAACGAAAACAATAGAAAAGAACTCCATGGAGACAAGAGCAATAATAATTTGTAGATGTATTTTGGTCATAGATGTTGATTTTACAAGAAACGGCATTATTCATTCCCTTAATTCACCACCAGTAAATGTTTATGGTGAATCTGTAGGCTGGCACTAGCGGGAATGATTTTATTGTAAAAAAATAAATTTTAATTGTTGTTGTATTTGTTACCAATTTTTTTCAAAACCGATTTATCTCGCAAACCGTTCATTTTTTCGAAATAAATAAAGAGTACCATTTTTAAAGAAAAACCTTCAGAGTATCTAATAATAATATTTTCAGTTTGATAAAATTACTTCTGTCAAAATTTTGAGAAAAATTGTGATAGGGCCAGTCCGTTTCTGGACACCTGATAATAGCAAAAAGTTGATTTTAGCATCAAATCGTAGAGCTCCATGTGTAATACAACGTACGAAAATTTTATTAAAATATACAGGGTGGTTTCAAAGTTATAACCCTAAACGTTAATTTCTAGGTACCCCTTTGACCCCCCATAACTCCGTTAGGGGGCACATTAGGAAAAAAAATTATAGGAAGGACTAGTTTTACTTTGACCTCCCCTATACACTCCCGAGAGATTAGGAGGTACTTACCGGACACCCTGTATTTACTAGTTTTAGATAGTATTTGATATGAATTTTTTGCATTTTCACCCAATTACATACAAGATGTTCCATTTAAGGCATATTCTTCCATAGCTCTGATAACACCAGTAATATAAAAGCACATTTCAAATAAAAGTTGAACCAAAACAATTTTCGCACACAGAGTATCCCATTTTCTCTAAGTGTTACCTAATTTCATTTTTTCAAATAGAATAACTTGAAAAATGTGTGCAGAATGTAATATTATTACATGTTTTTAATTTCTTCTTGAATATAACGCCTACTTTGATGAATAGATAGCGGGTTATGTTATGTGGCATTTGTTTTTTAATGATGAAACAGGAACAAAAAAATATAAAAAATTATCTCACAAACTACATATAAAAAGTAGAATCTAGCATACCTAAATAAAATAAAAAGAAAAGTGAATAAAAAGTCAAATCAATCTGTTTCAAAAGCTGGAATTTCTAATGTCCATAATTACTATTTTTCTGTTTGAATTTTTTTTTTTTTTTTTCATAAATGAGAGAACTAATATAATAACACAGAAACGGTACATTTTTGACCCAATATTCAAATAGAAATTCAAAAATGCAATAATATACAAGGTGTTTCATTTGCAAGAATGAAGTTGAGCAACGTCCAGAAAAATGGGACCCCCCTGTATAATCATAAATAGTTTTAGTATGTGAAGAAAATGATTTGGTGTAACTTTTATTTGAAATATTTGTTTATGTTATTAAGATTTCCAGAATTATTGAAAAATTCATCTGAAATGGGACACCATATACACTAGTTTTTACATCCATGATAATATTATTACAATTATTCATCTTTTTGCTTCTCCAAGTCGTAAGAAAAAAATTATAAACTATTTAAAGTAGGAAAGTAAAAGTAACGCCAACAAAAATGCAATATAGAGCAACAAAACGTGGAAGGAAATTTATTTAATTTAACAAATTAAGGTCGTTAAGAAATGGTGCTCCATAGTGCATCCGTCAATTTACAAATAGTAGCATTTTAATCGTTTGTTGCGTAGCTGTCCATCTGTAGTACCTTTTTCTCTTTTTGTGCATGAAGTCTTTAGTAGATTGTTGAATCCGCATCCATTAACCTAAGCTTTGCGCAAAACTTTACCGCAAATACGTTCCAGACTCAAAACAGATACTGAACAAGGGATTAGTAGTGAGAATAGGAAGGGAAGACTCCGCCTCGAACCACACAGTGTGCTCTAAGATGACGACGACTCAGGATACTAACAACACCATGACTACCACAAAAATAACCATCGACCTGTCCCCATCGCCCCCGACGAAGACGGACAACTGTTTCACCTATGCCAAATACAAAAGATCTCAGAACCACAGCTTCAAGTCTACCTCCCTCATACTAAACACCATAAAAGACAAAAACCAAACCAAATACTTCGCCGATAAGACTGGACTAGATTCTAGTTACAAAAAAGACGGTGGTATACCCCAGCAGCTAGAGGCTCTCAAAAAGCTGTACGAGGACGTTCAGAGTGACAGTGACGCTGATAAGGAAGTCCAACTGTTAATGTCCACCATCGCCGAAAGGGACTTGAACAGTTTCGAGGACGATAACAGTAGCGTGGTGTCCGGGAGCTGGAGCAAAATGAGGGCATTCAAGAACATCAGCGAACATTTCAGCAGAACAAGCACCAAGGAGGCTGTGACGAAACACGATCTCAAATTAAACACAAAATCAGAAAAAGGTACTAGTCAGTCTAAATTTAGCTTCGCCTGTCTCTACTCCAGCATATTAGCAAACCATCGAGCGGAAAATAGTTTCAAAAACCATATGTTTTGTCATGATTACATTTTTCTTACACTCAATATTATACTTTTATAAGAACGCTACATTTTTCCAGTCAACTGCAACCATAAGCTTTTAAAACGCAATATAATAACTATTAACTCGTTTTCATTCATTTCAGATATAAAACAAAGACTAACAAACGAGACTATCTCATCCACTTCAAACGTAGATGCCTGCAGAAACACTTCTAAATACGTCATAAGTAAAGAAAACTCATCTCCTGTAGCTTTAAATAAAGTGATTCCAATGACCTCTAGACCAGATCTAAAACCGGCTGTGACTACGAAGAAACTTGCTAGTCCGTCTTTAGTTGGTAGAAGCAACCATTCGTATGATTATCCTGAAAAATTGGGTACGACGCAACCCATCGAAAACACCAGACAATCTCCAAGCAAAGAATTTAAGAGTAGTTTTGATAAAAAACTACAAACGAAACACGTAAACGACAGCATTGTCTTAAGGCAACCGAAGAAGTCGGAAATGACTTACTTCGGCATTAACTTGTCGCCCAAACCGGTGAAAAAAATCTCTCAGGCTGTGATAAGGAAAGAAAGCAAACTGTCCGACAAGCCAGATCTCCTACAGCACTACAAGAAATCTCCCTCGCCCGCGAGAAATGCAGCAGTTAACAAAAATAAACCGCGATTGAAGTCTCCAGAATCAGTTAAAGTAAACAACGAACCAATCTACGAAAATCTGAAGGACACCAAAGGCAGATACAGCAGAGAGTTCGACAGTAGCATTCTAGATGAATTAACGAAGGCAGCTGACCAAATTCTCCAGGCTGTTAACGGTTATACTGATGAAGAAAATCACAATAGGTACAGCACTGATGATGAGGATTCAAAGAAAGTTAGAAATGAGAAATTGGAGACAATATCTGAAACGAAGTCCTGGAAGCAGCAGCAGGCTCAGAGAACCAAATCTAAACCTCCCAACACCAGAACAAAACTGAAACACACATCCTCTACTTCTTCGGTGGAAAGTTTGAGTCGAAGAAAAGTTACGTCTTCCTCGGTTGAAAGGAAATCAACAATCCCAAAAACTACACTTGAACATCAGAGGAAGAAGACGGAAAAAGGAGACTCCAGCACCGCTAAAGCTAATACTAAAGCGAGACGGTTGCAAAGAGCGAGCAGTAGAGAAGCTCTTCTACAGTCTCACGGATCTTCGTCCGAGGATTTGACGGCCAATGTAGAAGTTCCAGTGCGCAAGCCTAGGCTCATCAAGAAAACCAAAGCCATGCAACTCACTGTGACTAACGGTTTAGAGCTCAAGAAACCTACAAGTAGCAGTACCATAAGGAAAAAGGAAGAACTTCCGAGTAAATCGGAAGACAGGTAAAATTCTAATATATGCTGATATGAAGGTAATTATATTGGTGTCTTGTAGAGTACTAAGCAGTTTGCCAGAAATCCGACACAAGACTGCTGTGTCAACGATCAGAAGCACCACCGATAGGTCCACCAGGGATAGGACAAGGCACCGAAGTGAAGATTTGAAGAAAACGCCGCAGAAAAGAGAAGGAAGTAGAGGTAGGCGAAACTTCTTCGTCTCCTAATCTTTCACTAATCTTTATTTTTATTTTTAGGGATAAATCCTTCCACTCGAGAGAGAGAGAAGAACAAAACCACTGCTTTGCATAAGGAGACTGTAACTCATCGAATTTCTACTGCGTATGTACCTGTTTGTAGAAATAGAAGTCGACAAATGCATGCAAGACACCAAGACACAGATTGTCCATGTTTGTGTTCATGAAATTTACAAAACCTACCTTAGGTAGAAAACACAATTAGTATCTATAAATCAAGTTTTCGTACGAATTTTGTAATTGTTTTTGTGGGCCAAGATAGGCTTTTTCTATTAATACTTAGATTTACATACTGATTTCTAATTTATTTATTTGTTTATTTTTCATTCATTTGTAGAGGTAGTTCCTATAACATTTTTGTGAAGTAATCCTTATCATTAGCCAAATTTTTTTTATTTCCACCTCAAAACATTCTTAAATTAACAAAAAGTTGAATATTAAATTAATTTATATTTGGAATCAAAAGGGAATAGTATAAAAAGACAGTAGATGGCGTATTGCATTTCACAGTAAAATAATAGATGGCGCGTACTCTGTTTCTCGTGAAGAATAATAGGTGCCGCTTTATAATTTCATTTTGAAGTAGGAGTGAGTTTTTAAATTCATCTGTGAAAAATTTTATTAAAACATTAAATTAATCATATATTACCATTCGGGGAATTACATACAACCGGTTTTACAAAAATGCCCATTTCCATTCCACTGCTTATCAAATTCATCGGGGTTGGAGACCAACGAAAAATGAAAAGTGAAAAGTAAATCAGTTGAGGTTAGGTTCATACTATTTGTCAACAAATTAAATTTTGTAGAAAAAGTTATACTAAAATATGGATTTAAAGATTTTAAAAATTATTTAAGACTATCAAAGGAAACTATTGAGGTATATATGTATATATTATTGTCTGAAGTTATTTGTGGAATAATTTTATTTTTTTGTCAAAACAATGAGGTTATAAAAAACCCAAAATCATTGAAACGTTTTTTAAATTGTCAAACATTCCAGTAAACTTATTAATGGCTTAATTTTTTATTCAGTGCATCGAACTATTTTATCCAGATGGATTTAAAAACTTGCCCTAGTTATCCCAAAACTGTAAACTGAAAACTTATTTCACAAAAAGTGTAATTTTTCCAAGTGAATTGAAATAAGGAACAATTCTTCAATTCTTTATATTTCTTTTTTAATAATCAATCTTTTTGGTAGGTATCGGAAATGAAAATGTTCAAAGTCTATTCAATCTTACTAAAAATAATTAGATCTTAATATTAATCTAGTAAATTTAACGTTTATAATTAAACGACTAATAAATAGAATAAATGTTCCTAATTTCAATACCAGGAAGGCTTTTACATCTATATATTTCTGTCCCTTATATAACTATATATGATCTTAGTAACTTCTATGCTAGTAATAACCAAATAATAGATACCTACTAACTTTATCTAACAAGTAGTAAGTATATTCCTACTTTTAGAATGGCTGTCTACTCTAATTCTATCCTCCAGTAAATTTAGTTGTCATCATAAAGTAGATACTATTGTGGTTTGATACCTAATGTAGAACTAAAACATAGTTACCGTTAACAGTCATGTCATGTATCATAATCTTCATCAAGCCAAAATAACTTTTCTCATAGTCAAGGTCAGTTAGGCATTTTTAGCTAAAAGTTTCATAAATTAGCTTCTGATAGTTTGAAACTGCATATTAATTAAGTTTGAAATCTTTTCTATTTCTAAGCATTTATGAACTGTCTCTTATCCTTACACTCAATCAGAAGAGAAAAATCAACACAAAGTGCAGATAAAATTTTTATTAAACATTTATTGGTACCGATATTTTTCCAAGATAAAAATTTTGATCACTAAATATGGTTCAATTAAGAAGAATTCTTTTCGGTTTTTTTGGTCTTTAATAATTTCTCACAAAGTAGTTTCCAGGATTTTCATGTGTCATTCGAGCAGCAGCTGCCATCTAGTACACAGCAGCATGTATTAATTTTTAGATTACATTTTTATTCACTTTGAGCATTACATAAAAAGGCTGTGATTCAATTAAAAGCATGCTTTACAGTAATTTTACCTATTTTGTTTGGATGAGTAACCCATATGTTCAAATCTTATCTTATGCTACTGCATATGCTCGAAGGAGGCTACCTCTAGTAAGAGGTAGCCTCCTAATGGCTGGGCAAGTTACAAGGTGAAGAGGGAGATAGCTGCTATGAAGGTACATGCTATCTCTCTCTCGTTGATTGTGTTCCTGTCACGTGGTCAGACAGGGGATGAGTCGTGAGCCAATCACGTTCGGCGAGAGAGAAATAGCATGTACCTTCATACTAACTATATGTCTCTTCACCTTGTACGCTACCTCCAGTAGTAGTAGTAAACGCTCCAAAGTTTAAATGATTCTTTTGTTTTTACAGGAACATCAAGAAATGCCACCGTTCTGATGGAGGGACGAAGCACTAGCTTCCATTTTTAGTTTTATATAAATCGAACTGTTTTTTTTTATTTTATTTAAAGTTTAAGTATACGAAATTGTAATTCCTGCCAAGTTAGCTTTTAAGTATATGACTTAATCTTTACTTAGTTTGTCTTTTTTAAGAAGTTTTGATATGTAGCTCGACAGTAACATTATTGTAAAATAATGCTTTCTTAATGCTTTATTGTTTGTGTTTCCTTGTAATTTATTTTTAACATTCTCAAATAATTGTGATTATAAACTGCTTTGGTTTTGTGATGTTTACGTAATAAAGTTTTTTTTTTAATTTTTCTCAAAGAAATAGTTGTTTTTCTCCACAATATTGTAATGGAATTTAATATACGTATCATTTTTCACACTTCACAAAAATGTTGTTTTGAGTTGCCCTGAAATTTAAATTTCCTTTATTCTAGGGATAATAGAGGTGTGAAACTAAACGCAATTTGTGGTCGATCGTTTTGACTGCCATTACTTTAGCATGAGATAGAGTAATCATAAATGAACAAAAAAGTTGTATTTTACAGGGGCCTAAGATTAACAGTTTTCAAAATACAGCGAGTATTAATATTGGGGAGTTTCATCTCAACGTGACAACAGTGCTTAACTTAACGCTACACAGCTAATGCATACCACTTGTGCACGCGGCGGACTTGTCCTACGGAAAAAATGTAAACAACTACCTATTGTGAAACATTTAATAAATTTCAAGACAATTTTCCAGTTTTTAAATAAAGAAAATATAATGTATTGATTTTGTGGTACGAAGATAGTGTTAGTGCTTAAATTTTAGCTTGAATTTTAGTAATTATGAATCTCTTAAAACAGAAACTTACTGTGAATTTGAAAGATTCACATCATCCAAATAATCATATTAAAAACAATTTAGGTACTCACCAAAAAGCAAAATTCATCAGTAATTTTTAAACGCACAAGTATGAAACAAACTAAAACATATGCTCAAAATGTCCACTATTTTCGATACACGCACGATACCTTCGAATCCAATTTTCGCGCACTCGCTGGAAAATACCCGGATTTAACCTTATTTGATGGGCACCTTGTGAAACTTAAACGAATGTTCTTCTGTTAGGGACATGCTGGTGGGAAAAACGTCGACGGTAAATGCATCGAGCTCTAGCAGAATTGCGGTGAGCCTCCCCATAAATTAATAACATATCCTGATACTCGCGTATGGTAAATATTTTAAAAAAGCAAGGAGAAACACCTCAAAAAAAGGAAATAGTGGTACGCAAAAAACACTCCGATACGGTCTAATTCCAGATACCAATCTGAATTGTGTATTGCTGTTGGTGGACAACTTCGTACCATCGTGTTATTATAATCGCCGCGCCGTTGTCTTATTACTCGATATGAATTTTATCGAACTTTAAATTTATTACAACGCTAATTATTTTTTACAATTAAGCATAGAGAAGTTCAAAAAAGTGATAAACATTAATTGTATTTTATGGTATTCTATGCACGGAGACTTTGATAATTTTTTTCTCGGAAATGGTTGAGTTTAGGAGCCATGTCATATAAGGTTTTTTTGTTTATTTTAATGTATTCTATCGTCTGTTAAAATTAAGGCCGTCAAACTTCTAATACCCTGTATATTTTGTATGGCGACATATAAATACACTAATACTGTAGCAATTTATTAGAAAAAAATGGGGTTTCAATTGTAGTTTGTTTCAAATATTATCTAATTAATTTCAGTCTCAGCAGTATTTCAACACTTTCTAACCAAGAGCGCTTAAAAATGTTTTATAATAAACATTTCGACTTCGACTAACAAAAAACGAGATGATGTCGTTGGAATTATTACTACGTGCATTATTACACAACAAAGTGGGTTTAAAAATAATTGTCTGTCTTTAATTTGACAATTTACTTATCCTTAAAATATGACGTCCTCTGTTACGTCTTTGAAAGAACGCACTTTTTTAAAAAACACCATGTATTACTTACCTTTAAACGATCAGTCAATTTTATTTACGTCTGTAAAATGGCCCACATTAGAGAGATCCCCCTGAGCAACGTGATCACCTTTTTCTCCTTGATAGACTGGTTGACGGCCATAGATATATTTTCTATGGTTGACGGCTCAGGAGAGCTGATCTCTCGCTGGGAGGATGCACAAGGGGCCCAATGGGGTCTAAGTGCTGTAGCTCGGTATACTAAAGCTACCCTCCAAACTATTCCAACAAACTTAAATAACATTTGGTTTACTTTCATTATACATTTATTTCAACAAAATAAATTACAATTAAAAATATTATTAACGTTTAATAACTAAAACTCAGGAACTACCTATCTGATTTTAAAAATGTGTCACATAAGGCACATTCTACATAAGGTAGTTTATATCACATCATTACATCTTATTATGTATATGCAACCATGTAATTATGGCTTTATCATAAATTTTATATACGCTACGTTATCAAATAAATTAAAGGTAGGTACCTAGGATTGCCAGCATCGAGCCGATGTTGACCGACAGAAATAATTATTTCTTTAACCTTTTAACCGTGGATGGGAGACCTTAAGGTCGTTCAGAAAATCGACTTTTGTCTTAGTACAAAGCCCCTTCGTTTTTCAGTTATTTCGGTTTTTTTTCCAAATTTCCGCCCTAGGTTATTTCATTGGTCACTAAGGCCACGAGAGATCGTATACGCTTTGTTCCTAGTAGAATCCTAAACAGTTTCCAACAGTCAGACGCATGCGCATATGGATATAAAGCTTACATAAGGTTCAAAATTCATCGTTTCGAAGCAAATGCGATTGCGTCGGACTGTTGGGAACTAATTCTAATGCACTTGGAACAAAGCTATTATCTTTCAGTTATTATTTGATTTTATTTAAAAATTACAGTAAACGTTCAAATTGTCTGCCGCTTTCAATGATTCAGGCTCTGCACCTTCTTATGAATGCCCTTCGGAGCTTTCAATTATATGTTCGATTGTTCGCTGACTTAACATAAAATTTAAGTTTAAAATTTTTTTAAACAAGAACTACTATTGCTAGTTAAAAATTCTAATAAGCTTCTAATAATAACACAATTCAAGAATATTACGCAAAATAACTGAAAGTAGTGACCAATAAAGTTAACCTATGGCGGAAATTTCGAAAAAAAAAACGAAATAACTGAAAAACGAAGGGACTTTATACTAAGACAAAAGTCAATTTTCTGAACGACCTTAGAGTACCCCATCCACGGTTAAAAGATTATCCATTATATTTACCTGTGTGTACCTGGTGTATCCTCAAGTATAGCGTAGCTTGTACATTATATAATCAATGGTTGCATTTAACATTTGATATACTGTAATGTTACACTATTGTACGTCTGGTTGCGTCTCTGTTGATTCAAAGATACAGGCTACGACTTTTACAGAGTTTGTTCAGAAATCTAAGCCAAGTTTAACATCTAGCTAGACACTCTAAATATATCTCTCTGCCTTTTCATCTGTCGCTATTAGAAAAGGACGACATACCTCCAGACCATTTAGATGTTAGATGTTAGTACCGATACCGAACTAACCTCTTGGATACAGAGTACAGACAACTATTTTATACAAGTTCATGCCTGTCTGATAAAAAAATGGAGGGGGCGAAAAGGTTCCAAGTGACTTAACTGTGGTGACTCATTAAATCACAAATCAAATCAATGTTGAACTTATAACATAAATAATTCATTCACAAAAAAATTAATATTGTTCTAAACGAAACTAGGGGAACCCCAGATTTTGAACTAATAACATTCCTCCACATTTTACAATTTAAATATAAATCATAGGGGGAATGTACCATGAAAAAAAATTGTAAAATCCTCAATGCTGTTATCTCTTTTTCTTGGCAGTAACTTCCAATGTCGTTTATCATTCCGTCGTCGTTTTCCACAATTTCGGCAAAATATCCATTTTAAAAATTGTAAAATAATACGACATTTATAAAGAGAAACAATATTGAAATAATTTGATACACAGAAGGGCGTGGCATCAATATCGCTTCTAATATAATTTGTCCCTCCTCTTCTGACAAAGGGCAGTCGAAATTCCAGGAACCATCTTCATTTTGCCGTGCAATTCGGAAAAATATTACGCCCGTAACATTGTTATTCCGGTCTACAATTACATAAGACATGTTTGTGTCGGAACAAATTTAAGAAAAAGGATAGCAACGTAGAATTTTGATTAGAAAATGTTCTAAAAATTGTTCTTCTTGACTAGTAGACCCCGAAAATCGAAATCTCACAGCAAGGGAGCTCTTCGTGCAGTGTGGCAGAAGTAGAAGACACAACCAATCACACAAACGACTCGTAACAAAATAAGTCGTAGGAAAGATAATAATGACTTTTATATTTCATCAAATGCATTATGCGCATGTGCTACTCTAGAAATTTAGCGGGAACTCGTAACTATCATAACTAACTTAGATTAATAAATTCCCCTAAAAAAATAACCAACAAAGCCAGAATATTTTTATTTGCGTATGTAGCAACCATTTATTCAGGGTAGTAATTGAAGTTGTATAACATCTCGTCTCAATAATACTATAGTAGGATCATATTCGATGCAAAGTAATATAAATCATTGCCTGTCAACGGATCCAGTGACATTCGCTTTTAAGGGTTTTAGAAATTATAGTATATGTAAAACTAGTATAGGTGTATGTAGAATAATTAATATTGCACCATATTTGTTGAGATAAAAATTAAATAACACATTTTTCTTTATTACTTTTGTTTTTAACTTGAGCCCATATCATTCAATCGGATGAACGGTGAACGCCGCTAATGTCTTTCTACCTCAGGTGTCGAATGCCAAGAAAGTGAGGCAGGGGTCTTCTTGGAATTCTATCTCAACAAATATCGTACGGACTGTATAATATTTTTCGCTTCTAGATCTGAACAAGACGAACCGAATGAAAAACATATTTCATCTCATTCTTTCTATGAACGTGTTCAGTTTAATCGAAAGTGAAGTATAAAACAGCAAATTATGAATTAGTCTTTTAGTTGTTTCCACATACACCTGCATTCTACTCCAAAGTTGCCAATATCATATAGGATTACATTTTTCAAGTAAAATTCATTTTAGTTTTTAATTTATTTTATATTCTCATATAATCGTTATTATAAATTGATTTTTGATATTTACTAATATATTTTTTTAAATCTTTTTTCGATAAAAAGTTCTTGTTTTTCTCAAAAATATCCTAGGCACTTCATAAAATCTATGTAAACATTTTCTTTTATTTTACATTATTTAGATTATAAATTATAATTGAATAATTTATAAACTCATGCTATAAACAAGCTTACATAATGAGAAATGTATATCTGGTTGCATACAAGTAATAGCATTATATCTTTTCAGTCATTTAGTAAGTCCAATGAAGTATAGATGGCTAATACTACATTCAAAGTTTCTGTAATTCCTTTTAAAGATGCGTGCACACTAAAAACAATTCACCTCAAAAACGACAATATTTGTCCGTATCCATCGATCTCAAATTTTAAATTTTGGTCAACGTTATGTTTTTCGTTGCGCTTAGTTAATTAACTATATACCTAGATTATATGTAGGTACATATTGTCTGCTACCAAAGAACGAGCTAAATATCACCACTAGATATTCCAATGAAAATTGTGGGAGTTGTTCCTATAAAAATTTTCGGTTTCTTTTTCAAGATTTTGCGTTCAACTTAAAAAACTTAAAACTTAAAAAAATAATATTAGTTTTGGTCATGTCTCAGAAGAATAATATGTCATACATTGTGCAAAACAAAATAAGTTTTTAATGGTGCATTTTATGGATATGAGAGAGGAAAAAAATTTGTTACAGAAAAATGTCTGTGGATACCAAATATGCAAAAATTTTTATTCGAGTCAGTGGCGTATAAATATTGGTCTCTGAAATATGACTATTAATTATTAAGTTTTTTAACTTAAATAATTTGTATGAAATGTGAAACTGTCTAGACAATTTTTTATATGAACTAGGCTCTTGCCTTGATGGACGTATAAGTGTGTACGGTCCCTAACAGTCTAGCAATAGCCATAGAGAAAACATATGTTGAATTGTCTTTCTTTTCTTTGTGCCAGTAGTTTTCAGCACGATAAATGATTAAAAACAGTGTATGTATATATAGTGTAGGTTCGGCTTAGTTACTAATGTGAATGTGCTAATAAAATTAAAAATATACAAATGGGAACGATAAAAAAACATTTTGCAATGCATGTGTAACTGTTGCACTTTTGCATTTTTATTAGAAAAATAAAGCGAACAGAAGAATCTATACGTATTATATTGAACAAGCTTACTATTAAAATTTAAGTACCTCCATTATGGGATCATATATTTTTAGATTAGTAGTAGAAGGAAGAAATGGAATTTATTTGGAAATTAAGGATTTTTGATTAACCACAAATGGCAACATTTTTCCCAAAGATATTTAAAATAACTAGGACAATAATTCCAAAAAAAGAAATTCTATTGGTAAGTTTAAAAATCATTTTCTATTAAAATAATAAATATAGGTAGGTATCTAAAAATTATGATTTTTTTGTCATATAAAGTAATTTAATTAATTCTCGAATTAATTATAGATAGGTACTTTAGATGTTTGCAATTTTAGAAAGTCCTTGCTAAAGACAGATTTGGTTCGGCTTTCAAAAATGATAAGAAAAGGATTATATTCGGGCTTACATCTCTTTTGGAAACCCATAACCAAAGTCAAACAAAAAAAACTAGTACAAGAGGTAGACTAGTCGCATTAAGTGCTATCACATTCGCCGGAGGAGTTACTTTGTGCTATGCTAAGTATGATCCAGATTTTAGAAGTGTTCTTACGGAATATGTTCCTTTCATCGATCCCGTTATAGAAACCATATTTTTGGAGAAAGACAAATCAGATACAAGTAACATTATTCAAGCAAATGATTATAATAAAGGTAAGCGCTAACTATAGGATGCAGAGAAAACATTAATAAATTTAAAATTAACCAATTGAAAAGTAAATTTAAAAACCCTAATATATGCAAATCCAGATATCAGCTAGGGCTCTAAAATATACTTCTCTAATCTAGGCTCTAAATGTTATATTCCATCACTTGGCACCATTAAAGAGAGCACTGGACATATTTTATCCACAACTTATAATGGTATAAAAAAGCCCATTAGTAGTTTATTTTCAAGAAGTGAACCAAATGAAGGCAAAAGTAAGGGTTTTATGATTAACATTGATAAAGTACATATATGATTAATAGAACTGTAAAAACTAATTTGAAACTGAACTTCAACTTTTAAGATGTAGCAATTCAATATATTGATACTTTTTTACTTGAACTTCATTTATCTTTTATCAAACGTAAACCAGATTTCAGCAAGGGCCTTAAGAATTATATTCCATCAGTTGGTACAGTTAAAGATGGTACTGGACATATTTTATCCACAAGTTATAATGGTATAAAGAAACTCGGTAGCTTATTTTGTGAAAGTAAACCAAATGAAGGCAAAGGTAATATTTTCATGCCAATTTGTTTTACTTGAACTTCATTGATATTCTAATAAATGCAAACCAGATTCCAGCAAGGGCCTGAAGGATTATATTCCGTCGTTTGGCACTATTAAAGAAGGTACTGGGTATATTTTATTCACAACTTATAATGGTATAAAGAGACCCATTAGTAGCTTATTTTCTGGAAGTGAACCAAATGAAGTCAAAGGTAATATTTTCATGCCAATTTGTTTTACTTGAGCTTCATTTATATTTTAATAAATGCAAACCAGATTCCAGCAAGGGCCTGAAGGATTATATTCTGTCGTTTAGCACCATTAGAGAGGGTACTGTGTATATTTTATTCACAACTTATAATGGCATAAAGAGACCCATTAGTAGCTTATTTTCTGGAAGCGAACCAAATGAAGGCAAAGGTAAAGACTTCATGATTATCATTGAAAAAGTGTATGATTAACAGAGCTGTAAAAATTAACTTGAAAAAGAACTATTCACTTGTGTGATATAATATTTTCATTCCAATTCCTTTTACTTGTACTTTTATATTCAAAAACACAAATCAGATTCCAGCAAGAGCCTGAATGATTATATTCCATCGTTTGGCACCATTAAAGAGGGTACTGGGTATATTTTATTCACAACTTATAATGGTATAAAGAGACCCATTAGTAGTTTATTTTCCGGAAGTGAACCAAATGAAGGCAAAGGTAAGGACTTTCACGAGTAACATTGGTAAAGTATATGATAAATAAAGCTGTAAAAACTAACTTGAAAATAGAACTTTTAAATTGTAAGGTGTAATCATGACATTTTTCTTTACTTGAACTTCATTTATATTCTAATAAAGGCAAACCAGATTCCAGCAAGGGCTTGAAGGATTATATTCCATCGTTTAGCACCATTCAAGAGGGTACTGGGTATATTTTATTTACAGCGTACAATATTATGAAGAAACCCATTACTATTTTATTTTCTGGAAGTGAAGCAAATGCAGGCAAAGGTAAAGGCTTCATGATTAACAGATTAACAATTATTAATAAGTAAATTCTTAATAGAACAGTTGAGTGAGGAAATATCCTCACTCAACGATAGACCTGTAAAAACAAATGGGGAAGCTCGGGAGTAATTTGATATACAAGTAATACTGTGTAATATTTTGGTAATTTCTAAGTTTTTCAACAAATATGTCGCACTTAACGATAAGTGATCTCGCTCCCTCTTTGTAAAAATTTGCTTTTAAAAGAACTTTTAAGTTGTAAGATATACAGGCTGTTCCAAATTCGCTTCTCACTACAGGAATCTCCGAAACGGCAAGACATACAAAGTAGCTTAAATGCGGGCAAAGTTGCATAATCGAAGGACCAACATTATGCCTCTAAAAAATCAAGGCTAACATGATTAGTTTTCGAAATATTTGAAAATAAACGAAATTTTGGAAATACATTTTTATTTAATTTCAGCATTGTTGGAGGTGATATTGAAAAAAGAAGAACAGCCTGTATGTATTTGTATTTAATAATTAAAAAAAAACAAACGCATATAAAATAAAAAGTTTGCAAAAATAAAAAAAATTGTTTAAAAAATCCAGTAAATAATTCTGAACACCCTGTTTAAAATATTATTGTTATATTTTATAAAATTTAGTTCTAACACCATCTATGAAGTATTTATTCTAAGGGTTTATGAAAAACTCTCTCTTGATACACGAGATACAATAACAAAAGAGTATTTAAAAAAATCTTAACTTAATTAAGCAGTAATTAAGACCAAAGTAATATTAAGGTTGCATAGAGAACTGCGAAGGAGACTTCAATTGGAATAAGGAAATCCATGGTGTTTCGTTTAAAAAATACAAATTTGTACGCCACATTTCCTACACATATCGCTAATTTTTAAATGTCATTTATTTTGCTTCCTTAAAAAGTTACACAAGTCTTCAAAAATATATTGTTTTATTTAATTTTTAAGATAACTTGCTAAACTTTAAAAAAACATAATCATTACATTTTGAATTATCTTTTAGAAAGTACGTGCTCCTTAATGACAGTTCTCAATGGTCTTTCAGAACAACTGAAAATAATTGGTAATATATTGAAGAATTCTCGTGAAAATATATCAAAAGACGATAAATGGAAGTTATTGTGTATGTGGCTGCAAAATATTGACAATATTTACTATGCCATGGAAACATTTAATACACCCACTTCTAGTATAATATTGTCACAGTATCCCAAGTATTCAAAAGATTTAAGCAAACTGATCAGTAGTAGTATATCAAAGGTATATGACATAAATTGTACTAGGACTGTGAATTAATTTAGAGGGATGTAAAATAGATGGGGTAACTTATGCTGTATCGCATAGGACACTTCTGTAACTATATTCATGTCAAAACTCATTAGGCTTTACTTTTTATTACGTGTCATTTTACTGAAGTGTAAACAACATATTTTTTCTCAGCTCCGAAGATGTCGAATTATGAACCAACAAAACACTATTTGCAGGAAGTTTTATTTTCCGTTTAATTAAAAAAAAAGCACTGCTCAAAGACATCGAGTGCTGTTGGAAACTTACGTTGGGCATACTCCATTGATAAAACAGTAATAGTATTGGTTTCGACATTTTAGAAGTGGTAATTTCAATACAGTTGATCAATTAAAAAAGTTTGGAGATGAGTAGTTGGAAGCATTACTTGACCAAGATTCATGGCAAACGCAAGATGAAAATGCTGAATCGTTGAGTGTTGATCGCACAACAGTTTACTAACGTTTAAATGCACTCGGTATGATTCAAAAGCAAGGAAATTGGGTGTCATACGAATGAAGCCGGGAGATGTTACGACAATTTTTCACGTGAATAATTGCTTCAAAGGCAAAATAGAAAGGATTTTTTGCATCGTATCATTATTGGTGATGAAAAATGAATACGCTATGATAATCCTAAGTGTAGAAAATTGCCTGGTCCTGCATCAACATCGACGGTACTGCTGAATATTCATGGTTTGAAGTTCATGTTTTGTATTTGGTGGGACCAGCTTGGCATTGAGTACCATGAGCTGCTTCAACCAAATGAAACCATCACTGGTGAATGCTACTCAACCTAATTGATGAGTTTGAGCTGTGCAATGAAAGGAAATCGGCTGCAATTCGAGTCAAAGTTATCCTCGACCACATGTTGCTCATGAAGTCAAAAAATACTTAAATACCCTCAAATGGTATGTTTTACCCCACCCGCTATATTCACCAGATATTGCTCCATCGGATTACTACTTGTTTTGATCCATGGAACACGCCTGGCTAAGTAGCGCTTGCAATCTTGCGAAGATACGAAAAATTGGATCGATTGATGGACAGCATATAGATTAGTAGTTTCTTTCGACGCGGAATCTGTACGCTCCAGAAAGATGGGAAAAAGTAGTGGCTAGTGATGGACAATACTTTAAAAAATAATAATGTACACAATTTTTCACAATAGAGCCTTGAATTTACAAAAATATCCCTCAAAATTAATTCACAGTACTAACATATGTTATCAAAAAGACCTATCAAAGGCTAAATTATAACTTCAACTAATTAAAACTATTTTTTAGGAAGAAGATTATTCCAAGGTCGTCACAGTGTTGGCTTGTGCAACTGTGATTTCTATTCAGTTGCTCCTTATTGCTTATTTCAATGTGCCTTTCACTGGCCAGGTAACATATAACTGTTTAGAATGTAACAAAAATATATATCTAAATATTTTTCAATTTTCATAAATATGTAATTTTCAAAATTTCAGTTCCATACCTGTATTACTTCACTCTTTTATCATTTTTTTCACATTTTAGCTGGAAAATATTGCTTTTTCTGCGTTTAATGCCACCTTACTAAAGGACAATCCAAAATTTCAAGAGCTATTGGAGGTGTCCATGAAAACCATACAAAACTATGTTCCGAATAAGATACAATCAACAGACTGGCTATATTACGTTAATGTAAGAAATTTTTGTACATAATTCTTAAGGCAATGTCACTTTCAACTATAATTTACACGATAGAAAAAAAATTCCATTCTTATCTTTTTAGGTAATGAATATGGCTTATTCGTTTTTTACATTAGCTGCTAGTTACGTCAAGTAATGGAAGTGAATTTGTAAATTAAAGCAAAAATGTTTGAAACAGTATCTATCTATAAGGTATACATTTTTATTTACTCTTTTGTAATATTTGAATATACTTTGACAAAAAAAAATGTGTTAATTTAATTAAATGAGAACCCGGAAGAAAGTGCATTTTTAATAACTATTTAAACATTTAAATCATTTGTGAAATTCCTTGCCTACTCTACTAAAATGCATACAGCTGATATTGTTATTTTACGTAGTTTAAATAACTAGATAGATTTCACAGGGTCTAACGACACTTACAGTGTACGATAATTCATTAAATAAAAAAAGAAATCTAAATAAAAAATTTAGATAAATTTGGAACGAATATACTGAAGATGAATTCTTCGAGACAAAACGTCTGAATCTTGAGGGTCATGAAGGCTTGCAAAAAATGTAATAAAATTTCCAGGGTCGTATTTAAAAAAATTAAGTTGATGGTTCTGGAGAGACAAAACGTTGCATATAAAAATTAATTATGCCATTCGATAGAAGGCAAAAAGTGGCCATGAGAAAGTGTTCTTCTTTTTGCAATATCACCTCGAACAAGGCTGAAATGAAACAAAAAACGGATTTCCAAAATTTCGGTTTTTTCAAATATTTTGAAAACTAATCATGTTAGCCTTGATTTTTTCTTACCGTTTCTGAGATCCCTGTAGTGAGAAACGAATTTGTAACAGCCTGTATATAAGAACGAACATATGGTGTCTGAATAAAATTTGCTACACTAGGGCACGAAGTAATAAAAATGATCTTGAAACATTTTATTCCCTACATCAGTGGAGTACGAAGGAGTATGTGAACTACTCGTTTTCAAAATATTTCTGCACCTCCTAGGGTGCGCAGTATACAGTGATGTTTTTTGTATTTTGTATTTCTCTGCTTTTCTCAGAATGAGATTTTCGGTTAGCCAAAAATTATAACTTTTGACATCCTTTTGGTGCAAGGGCTTATTTAATTAATTTTTCAGTATTTTTTCACAAATGATAAAATACCGAATAAGAAAAAAAATTATTAATTCATCTGCCAATTTCACACAAAAAATGTTTTGTTAATTTCTCTTAAAATTGCTAAATTTTAAGTAAAAAAAAAATTAATATAGAGGCTTGGAATACCAAACTGATTGTTTATCTGCAAAAGGAAAGGAATTGGATGGACTTTTGAAAATATATATTTGTTGTTCATTATAATAACTACCTTTGTCCATAAACGGAATTAAAACAATAACAGTCGTAACTTTTATTTACTTTAGGATTTTGTGATGCAATTACCTTGAAAGCTATTCTAACAAGTTGAAAAAAATTAATTCTTTGTGGAGACATGCAGCAAAGCTGCAAAATGTTGAGGTTATCCTACAAAGAGTTGAACAAGAAAGCTGGGACAAGTATCAAGTTTCAAAAAGCATCATCAACGGGATCATAAAAACTTAAGTGTTTCACACTACCTACAGTTTTAACCGTACCATTTCGCCTGTTTAAGTCAAAATTGTGCAAGCAAAAAACACAACAGACATAAGAAAGTTAAGACAAACATAATGAGAATTTCGAAAAGCAATACCAACCAGATCATAAAAGAATATGTATGAATTATAGTCATTTTGATATTTGAAAAGGTTCTTTTTAATGTGCTGTAACTAATTCTCGTTCCTATAATCGTACTTTTATCAAATACTCTCAATTTTTACTCATAGATTTAATATCTGTTAGGAACTGTTTAAATGAAAAAAAACTAAATAAACAAATGAATGAACAACTATACTTATTTTCTCAATAAATGATAGGTTGTGTTTCATAGCATTATTATTTATGTAGATTCTCTTCAGTTGACGGTGTGATTCTGGGTTCCTGCGTGAGAGACGGGAGAGTCTTATTTCAGCAGTGTAGTGGGTGATACGTGAATACGTTCTTAGCGATTACTTACTAAAATCCTTAGTAATAACAGTACGTTATTAGGGCAGATCTGTCTCTATAAATCAGGTGTTATTATTATTATTGTGTCACTAATGAATGAATAGTAACGAGATAATGAATGGTGAGGCCGAGGGGCACCGTATCCAGGGGCTGAGCCGAGTGATACGAGGATGAATGAAGTGAGTGTGTGTGTGTATGTAGTTTTGATTACAGGTGATCCAGGTGCATGCACAACCTACAGCGGAGATGCTTATTCGAGTGACTACCAGATAGGACAGCGACGGACTAGGCGGGGTGCCCCCAGTGAGTGTAAACCATAATTAGTTACGTATTGAGAACATACAGCAGTACTTGTTTGTTACATATCACAGGTGATTGCCAGGAACTTCGATCACATCTCATCTGCCGATTGGATCACATCTCATCTGCCGATTGTTGCCTCTGACTGCAAGTTTACGTACCACACCCGTAAGGTAATGTAATCATTTCCATTAAGTAAGATCCATTTGAAAACTTACACCTAACATATCTAGCTACATATTTTTAATTGAAATGAAAATTATCTTCTAGACATTATTTTTATAAAGTTCTTATACTTAGGTCATGTCTTGTCTTGTCATGTTCATCGGAATAATTTATTATTTTTAACTTAACCCTCTTAATTTCACAAAACGTAGCCCCATACATAAATGTAGTTAAAGCCCATAATAAAAAAGGTTTTATTTTGTGGTTAAAGTATAAAATAATTATTATAACTTAACTTCAAGTACCTTTGTACGGCGAGACACAAAATGGGAGGTAGGGTAAAACCACAAAAAAATCATCTACTAACAGTAACAGTACTAACCTAAAAACTAGAAGTCAAGTCAATAATTATCGCAATTTGTTTTTATAGTAGTAAATAAAAAGTTTCGAAAATAATTTAAATATGGTAATAGTATGTGCAGTGAATGACGGTAAACAGATTTAAATGAAAAACAGTACGTTTGTGATCTGAATTTTCGATCTAATGATGTCCAGCAGTTCTATATTATAACTTGACCGACTAGTGGGTTAATATTATGGCAAAAGGTCGAATAATTCGGAAGTTGGAAGCAGCTTCTTTGATTCTCAATAATTTAGAGAAATTCTTAAATAGAAAGAATTCATAAGTGAAAATATTGTATAACTGAATGATGCATTGTTTCTTTATGTACCTTGCAGCAGCAACAACAACAAGATCCTCCGGTACACCAGCAACAACAGGTGCAGCAGCTACAAGAGCAGCAGTTATAACAACAACAGGAATAGCAAGTAAATCAAGAGCAATTACGTTACTATGAAATTATACTAGAAAGTGAGCATCCCGTATAATCTAATAAAAGAAAAGTTCTGTTGGCCTGTGATGAGGTCTCGACAAAGCAATAACGAATATGTTCAGAGCATAATATTGACAATAGCAACAAAGTATACTTTATTTATTTCTACATATTCTTGTAATTTATATTACATGCATAAATAATTAAATTCGTATCTTTCAGATAAGTCTTGCTAGTGTTATAGTTATTATCATTACTGAATAATTGAATAAATCATTTCCAATTAGTTGCTGTTTCTTTCCCGTTAGTAAAAAACTGATTGAAATTCAGATATCGAATACAATTTAAAGAGGATATGTTTGTGTAGTAATTGATATTAATAATACAAGAATTACTTTTTTTTTAAACGGAACTTCCTGTATAAAATGTGACTATTTTTTACTTAGATTAAACTAAAATCGTTAACAAAGTAATTATCAAAAACATAAAACTTATTTACTTATAGGTTAATATTAACAAGATCACGTCATAAATTCCTTGAAAACTAGTTGTTTATTTCTACTAACACCAAATTCTCATAAAGCTAATATTTTTGATTATCTATTTAGTTTAATTACAATCCGGAATGACATATTTTCATTATTTATATAATTCAAAGTAGCTTACATTATTTAATTTAAAAATTTTAACCACAAAAATAACATCATTGATTTATAATTCAAAATGCCGCTTTTTTATCTCCTCTCTCTAAACGGTACATATGGGACACTAGCGCCCTCTTATTTTGGTAGAATTTTTGATTACATGAGCTGTATTTGTTTTACCACTTGGTTAGTTCAGTTTAGTCAAATTGACCAAATTAGAAGTGACCGTGATTTGAACTAACTTTTCGTTAAACAAAACGCACATCTACTCCATTTTAAATGTTGACTTTTGACTTCTGTTCAATTTCAGTTTAATTAGGTTGTTGTTGTCAATTATACTGTTCCCAACATACTTAAAATCAACATATTTTCATCAGATGAATCCATATCCATTATCAACGCCTTATTTGTATTATTTAGATTTATGATTATTATTTGTTGGTTATGTCTTGTTCGGTTATCTTGTTCGCTTACTACCACGATATTAGGCTAGGTTAGATCGGAAAGGGGGGAACTGATTTTGGTCATATTTTGGTTTGTTCACTTGTTTAAAAAAAAAACTAACTTGGTCAGAACTCTACTGAAAGTGAATTAACCAAAATGACGCAAATGTAAAACAAATACAGCTATGAGCTGGTGGTTAGTAAGTGAACAAGATAACCGAAAAAACATAACCAACAAATAAAAATCATAAATCTAAATAATAAAAATAAGGCGTTGATAATGGATATGGATTCATCTGGAGAAGGTATGTTGATTTTAAGTGTGTTGGGCTCAGTATGATTGACAACAACGACCTAATTAAACTGAAATTGAACAGACGTCAGAAGTCAATATTTAAAATGGAGTAGATGTGTGTTTTGCTTAACCTAAAGTTAGTTCAAATCACGGTCACTTCTAGCTTGGTCAATTTGACCAAATTGAACTAACCTAGTGGTAAAACAAATACAACTATGGAGTTCAGCTCCTTGTGTAGTTTCCCTCAGGGCCTTTCGATTTGGCAAAAATAGTAGCTATCAGTTGCTAATAGCAACTTAGAGTTACTCTGAACTGATATTAGTTGCTAATAGGTACTATTTTTGCCAAAACGAAAGCCCCCCAGGTCACAAATGTAAAGTTTAGGTACTTTACATTACAACGGTTTGATACCAACATTACCAACCGAGGATGGTGTAAAATAAAAAGTCGGGGAAGTACATGTTGTTGTGGATAAAAAATGAACAAATATCATTTCTTGTCATTAGTGCGTTTTACACAGAGATAATAGAGATAAGGTTTTATAATTTATACCACAGTTAACCGTATTTTACACACAATAAAATGCTTTACATTTAAGAAAAAACGAGATAATAAAATAAGGATAAACACACTCGCCTGAATCCTCTACAGAACAGAATACAGTCGTAAACATCTACATGGTATAAATTTTTTGGAATACACAAAAAGAGAGGAGATAGAGAAATCCGTGCATACTTAGGTTTAATATTGACGAAAAGCTTGCTTGGAAATTTAAAGTCTATTATTTCGAAGATATGTGGATGCATCTTTGGTCTGAACTCCAAAGGAATTAAAATATCGAAGTTTATTCGAACAGGTTTGCAGTTATATACTTTTAAATATGTTGCCGATAATTACAAGAATTTTAAATAGAGGAGTTGCATATGTAAGTTTATCAATCATTGAAATAAATTAGGAATTAAATAGAAAAAAATAATTTATCATTTTAGAAGACACAACACACCAAAAATAGGTTTTATTGCTCTGTTAATAAAAATAATCGCAACCCAAATTCATCTGCGGCCAAGCCATTAAATGAGGTTAATAAAGATAAACACCATAGAAAATATATTTCTTTCACTAACAATTCAGGAAAAACTATAACAGGGGATGCAGAAACTATTTCGTTTGTTGCTTATGATAGTAAAACAGACACTCATGGAGGAAGCGCAATAACTCGTTTGTTTGTTACTTATGATAGTAAAACAGACACGTTTTATGCAAATATATCAAAACCAGATGGCATTGAACAAATTATTGAGTCAACGAAAGGGAAAGGTACTTAAGTCTTACAAAGCAACACGAACATCATATATGTAAATTTGTGATATAATTGAGATAATTTCATAACTGACGATCAGAATCATAAACCAGAATATTGAATACTTCTTTTATTTATTAAACTCGGTGTTCTAATAAATATTGTGAAATATATATATTTTTAACTTTTAGTATACTCTGTTAACTGTAATACAGATGTCAATAAGAATGATAAAGATTGTATTCCTTTCCCTGGCAATACAGAACAAGAAACCATTAAAGAGGGCACAGGAATTATTTCGTTGATTCCTTGCAGTGATACAAAAGGTCCCACTAATCGTTTATTTTATGGAAATACATCACAACCAGAGAAAGTTATGAAGCAGATTCCTAAACCAAAAGAGAAGAAAGGTATGTGCTTAAACATATAAGTTTATTAATAAAGTTGTTAATGATAAATGCTAGAAATATTTAAATTTCTGGTCATTTATTGTTACTTCTAGTTACATTACAAATCATAGCAATTTTTTGGAACTTGTAGTGTATTCTGCCAACTGCAGTATATATTTCAATAAAGGTGATAAAAATCCCATTAAAAAGGATACAGGAATGATTACCCATTTATTTTATGGAAACATATTACAACCAGACATAGTTGCGAATCAGTTTCCTAAAACAAAAAAGCAAAAGAAGAGAGGTAAGTGCTCAAAGGTGTCAGGAGCATATTATTTAAAATGTAGAATATGTACCTATAGTTATTTTGATTTTACCTGTTTTCCTTCCCTGTGAATTAGATTAAACAAGATAGCCTCAGATAATGTCTATTATAACACGTATAATAGTTTACTATTATGGAATAAATATCAGAAATCACTTACTACTTCTATAAGTATAACAATTTTTTTTTGAATTTGTAGTTTATGTACGCTTAGGTTTCGGCAAGCCTCTTAAGGATTATATTCCTTCCGTTGATACATTGCGAACAAGTTTTAAAAATGGCGTAAGAATTAATTTGTCGAATATTATAAGCAGTATTAAAAAGCCTATACCATTTTTATTTATTTTTGGAAATAAACTAAAACTTGGCAGAAAAATGGAAAATGATAATAATGAAAAGGAATACAAAGGTTAGTGTTGAATATAATATGTACCTAAATTTTCATAAATTTGACTGAAATTATTTCTTCTGTATGTATAAATGTCGACATTTAAGAAAACATAAAAATTACGGTAGTTATAAGATTATCAAAATAATGCATTAAAAACCCTGTTGTAGAAAGTGATAAAGAAAATACTTCATTTGATCTCAAGAGCAATGTAAACAATGCCCACTCATTTAAGAGTACAGAAGAAATCCCTGAACAAATGGAATATCCAGGTAAGTGTACCCAAAGAGAAGTGTTACTAAAAAATTAACCTTTGCATGGTACATTAAAAAAGATCTAAAAATTAATGTAACGAGCTTCTGTTATAGTTATCATGCTTTCTTAGTTCCAATTAGTTCTTTTTTGTACTTCATTTTATCAACGAATTGAAGAACATGTTGTTTAGTATAAGTATAAAATATTTTAATTATGTTTCAGGAAGCAGCTGCTCTGAATATGTTACTGATCTAATACAAAATATTGGAAGCCTTTTACAACAGATCAGGGAAAACATTTCAAATGAAGAAAAACATAAATTCTTACTTATGTGGCAGGATGAAATAAATAATATTTATTTGATGATAAAAGATTTAAATACTGCCACGTCTATCATAATATTGTCCAAGTACTCTAAGTATTCAGAAGATTTAAACCATCTAATCACAAGTATATCAGAGGTACGATAGAAATCGAATATCGGACGTACCAAATTATTTTTTTAAAATTAAATTGGAGATCATTTTTGGCCTCCAAATAATCATAGAATAACTGAAAATTACTTTTAGGATGAAGATTACGGAAAACTCTTGCCTGTACTTGCGTACATAACTGTTGTTTCTGTTCAATTGCTTCTGCTTTCCTATTTTAATGTCCCTTTCGCTGATCAGGTAAATTTTAGAACAATTTTTGATGTGAAAATAAATAATATCTTTTAGATGGTAAACATTGCTATTTCTTTCTTTCATAAAATACACTTGCTAAAAGACAACCCTAATGTCCACGAAATAATTGATGTTATTATGAAGAAAATTGATCAATATCTTCCTGTAAGTTTAGATACATTGCAACCAGCGGAATGTACATGGTACTTTAAAGTGAGTAGAAAAAATATTAAGTTAAAAATTAAACATCACTCCTTTTCTTTCTTTATAAAATCAGTATAATTAGCATTATACAGGGTGTTTGTAAATAAGTTCGAAATATTTTACGGGGTGGTTACCAAAGATATTTTGTGAAAAAAAAGTTCCTATAAAAAAATAATAATAAAGGTCCGTAGGACTAAATATGCTTCGTTTCCGAGATACAGAGTGTGTAATATTTAATATTTATTTATTTTTATTAATTATTTCAAAGTTTTGAACATCCTGAATCTCAAAATCGAAGAATTTTTTACCCACATTCATATCAACTTTTTATTTTCAATGTTGAATTTTTACTTTGACTGCGCTTTATTAAAAGAGACCCGTAAATAAAAGATTAACCTACAATAAATGTTTTTTTTTTCGTAAAAACGGTGCATCCTGCGAAAAAAGTTGAAGAGACCAATTTCATTCAGAATTGATGGCGGATTTTTAAAAAATATCAAAACAGGAAAAGGTCTGGCGTACCATTTATTTTTGTTAAAAAAAGTTGTGGCATTCTCGCACGCATGCCACTGGTGCAAGTAGAAATATTCGGATAAGCTCAAAAAATGTCCATTTATCCCTCAAAAGCGTGTTTCAAATTTCGAGTCAATATCTTCAAAATTCTTTGAAATAATTAATAAAAATAAATAAAAATTTCAAATTTAAACTCTATCTTGGAAATGAAGCATATTTCGACCTACGTTTATATAAACTTTTTTTCCACAAAATAACTTGGGCAACCACCCCCTAAAATATTTCGCACTTATTTACAAACACCCTGTAGAGGTTTTACTTTTTTGCTACATCCGGGTTTTCTTCGTTTCTAATTATCCGATCAGATGGAATATAAAAAATTAATTAATGGTAAATTGGAGTAGCAAACATGTAAGCATATATCTATAGACTGTCTTTTATATGATGGCACTGTCCGTTTGCTACTAGTATTTTTGTCACAAACAAAACCTCTATTGATTAGCCTATACAGGGTGTTTCAAAAAGACCTCCCGTAAATACAGGGGGTGATAGTACCACAAAAAATAAGAATTTTTTGTCATATGAACTATGTCTATCTCCTCTTGTTTTGGAAATACAGAGCGATAAAGTAAAATTTTTTAAATAGAATTTTTACGAAAATTTCCAAACGGTGCGAAATATTTTTATGAAATACATTCCTATTACATTTTAAGTTCTAATTTTTTTAAGGTTAGGTTTTTTACCATTTGGGCTCCAATTTATAATGTACAATTTTATTTTATAAAAATAATGTACTCTTGCTAGAACTTCTTAATGTGGACGGTTTTCGAGAAAAAAGGCTTTTAATTGAACTCTTACAATTTTACGGTATATAAAATAAGTGACTTTTCTCAAAGTAGGCTGATGTCAAAACTTATTGATGGATGTCTCATAAACAACACATACATTCTTAGTAATATTTTAAACTAATTAACCTTATATCGAAATGTTAGTGATTGTTAGTGACTGTAGTTAGTAATGGCTAATTATAGTCACTAAAATTTTGATATAAAGTTTTAATTAAAGTTTAAAATATTACTAAGAATATACGTGTTGTTTATGAGACATCCATCAATAAGTTTTGTCATAAGCCTACTTTGACAAAAGTCATTTGTTTTATACATAGGAATATTGTAAAAGTTCAATTAAAAGCCTTTTTTCTTGAAAACCGTCCACATTAGGACGCTCTATTTTTAGAAAATAAAATTGTATATTAGAAATTGGTGTCCGAATGGTAAAAACCTAACCTTAAAAAAATTAGAACTTAAAGTATAATAGGAATGTAGCATAACTAGCGCCCTTCATGGAATATCCAAAAAATAATTTGACCAGCGTATTTGGAGTCCTTAATAACCCTGGAATTTAATTTTATCGCTCCGTATCCCCAAAAAAAGGAGATAACAGTTATACAGTTCATATAGAAAAAATTCTTATTTTTTGTCGTACCCTGTATTTACGGGAGGTCCTTCTGAAACACCCTGTATATCATAGTTTGAAATCTGTAATACAAGAAAGAATTTATTTTAATACATTTTTTAGATGACATTTAAAGTTTATACAATTTTTAAATTAGTTACCAAAAGTTGGGACGAATCAAAAATGGAATTTCCTGATGATAAACATATTGAATAATGAGTAATGCTTATCTTATATTTGAACTGGAATTAATATGACAGCTTTGTTGACATGTATTTTTTTTATTATTATTATCTATTAAGCTGTAACCTTTATTATATATGTATATATTTATAATGGCAATTTAATATATATGTATGTATTAACTATCCCTTTTATTTATTTCAGTTGAATTAGCTATTTTTTAAAATCTACTGCAACACACGCTGACATAATTTATTGTTTATAGCACAATATATGTTTATGGTTATCACAAAGTATTTATGATTGTTCTCATTTTACTTCCTTTTAAATTCCACTTACATATATTTGTAAGTAACTTTAATTTAAAAAAATAGCACTTTACGATGAGATATCAAAGGGTGTTTAGTTCACGAATAACCACGAGGTCTAGCTTATATTTTTGCATTTATTCTGAATAAATATTAAAAGTGCTATTTGCATATTCCTCTACACGCTAATGATTTACAAACAACTAGCTCTAGTAACGATTAGATAGTGCTGGTTCTGTTATACAGGGTGTTTGGTACGTAGATAGAAAGCTTTAAAGGGGTTATAGCTGATATCATTTGGAATATTCAGGATGTACCTTTAAGTGGGGGGTTAGTTTTTTAGGGGTAATGGTACGTGTTTCCCTGAATACAAATCTGAATTTTTTTTTTTAATCAAATAAATAGTCAAGTTATAATTAGTTTTTTAAAATGCACTTTAATTCTTGTGTACACTGCCACTGTAATATTCATGTATTACAAATATATGAATTGTAGGCAACCTACAGTACATGTAAAGGGAGATAGTGCGGATCAACAGTGACGAAGCGAAGGGGGTCAGTTGTTGTTCCGCATTTGGAAACAACATCTAACTGTGAATTTGAATGCTTTTCAACGCTGGAATCCATCAACAGGTTGCTTTGGCTATCCTGTAGACAGGTCTGTTGTCTAATTAGCGACCATTATTCAGAAGGAAGCGACGACGATATTAAGTGTCTGTAATAACAGAGACCCGCAAAGACTACTTATTTTTGTGTATTTCATGTATCATTATTGATTATTGCTCAAGTTTTTTGCTAGGTTACTTGTTAAGTATTGTTTGTGTGGCCAACACCCACTCAACAAAAGTAACTCGCTCTGAGTGGTGTGGAATTGTGCATGCGTTGCGATTAGAGTGTGCCGTTATTTGAGGTTACACTATATTATCCAGCGGCGGGGTATGAAAATTACTAAAAGAAATGTTAAAAAAATTTAGTTTTCACGACAGAATTTGAAATAATTAACTATTGATATGTTTTTAAAGGTCAAAGAAAGCTGTGTACAAATATAACCCCCACTAAAAAAGTGTTACCGTTTTCGAGATATTCATAGTTTTTCTACATTTTTGTCTATTTCTGATTTTAGTATGAAAATTTTTTTAAATAAATAATTCTGTAATGTAATTCTTAGTGTAACTATCACGTTTTAAAAATTGTGGTTGTTTTGAAATAAAATTTGAAAACTGATTTGATTTGTTGTTTTATGATTATTATCAGTGATAGGTGGTCATGAAAATTAATTTGTGGTAAAGTAATTTACTGTAAATTACATAAAGGTTCGATTTTCAAATGCAGAATCTGCAAATATAATGCTGCTGTTGCTCGTAGACTGTTTCGCAAACATTTTTCCCAAAGAAGACTTCCAAATGGGAGGTGGTAGGTATTAATACTTATAGAAGAATAAGTGAACATGGATTGTAGATCAGAAGTCAGAATTAGAAATATTGTATATGGTTATGATGTCGATGAGAAAATGTTGGAAGTCTTCGAACGTGATCTCACGAGCATCAGGACAGCAGCGCAACAACTCCACATTTCCATGTAGAAAGTCTGGTATTTGTTAAGAATACAAGGGAAACATCCTTTTCATTGTACTCCTGTTCAAGGAATTGAAGAAGTTGACCCAATACGGCAAATAATTTTCTGTATTTTTGTGTTAAATACTGATATGGAAGACAGACTATTTCACAAATGTATTTTACGGACTGATGAGTCATGTTAAAGTCATTTTCATAATTTGCGTTGTTGCACTGAAGAAAATCCCTGATGGAAATTTTTTCAACATTTTAGACGGGTGTTATAGAAAGAACACTTATACGCTCTTATCTACCCGAAAATTTAAATGGTGATAATTATTTAGAATTTCTCCAAAATCACTTACATGAAATTTTAGATCATGTTCCACTTAATATTCGAAATGGGTTGATTTTGCAAAATGATGGATGCCCAGCCCATTGCCTTAGTACAGTTAAGGGCACCGTTTTTTTGCATAATTTTTAGTGAATTTATATCTGTGTTTTGACGTGGGTTTTAGAAAATCTAAGCCAGTTAGAAACAACATTTCTTCAGTGTGCCAGTTATAGAAGTTTTCTCCAGGGTATAAGCATTTTTTACTTCTTATGTTTATCATCACTTTTTCTGAACTTTACACGATTGTTAAATATACAGAAAATCGCGTACGGTATTATAAACATAATCACACCCCGCATAATGATTTTATGAAACTATCAACACATGAATTAATTATAATTATTGAGTATTTTTACAAAATTTCTCTAATCAGATATAAATTTTATATAAAACTAGCGGCCCGTCCCGGCTTCACACGGGTGGACATTTATTTTAAACATTTTGGGATATAAAAAATATAGCCTATGTTACTCAGGGATAATGTAGCATTCTAATGGTGAAAGAATTATCGAAATCCGTCCAATAGTTTTTGAGTTTATTCGTAACAAACTTACATACAAAAATACAAATCTTTCCTCTTTATAACATTAGTATACACGGTCGGAAAGTCCTCATGGTTCATCGGCCTTTACGTGAGAGCGATAAAGTAAGTCATAGAAATCCGTGCGATAGAGAGAGATGGCTATAATGAAGGCGTCTAATAGTCACCCCCATTTCGCTCTTCCACAAATAAGAAGTGGATCTTATTTGTGGAAGGGCGAAATGGGCGATGACTATTAGACGCCTTCATTGTATCCATCTTTCTCTATCGCACGGATTTCTATGACTTTCTTTATCGCTCTCACGTAAACGGCCGATGAACCCTGGGGATTTTCCGACCCTGTAGTTCAAGGTTAGGTTGTAATGTTTTATTGTAACGTGTGATGTTAATAGTTTAAATAACTAGGTGAATTTCACAGAGTCTAACGAAATTTAGAGTATATGATAATTCAAGAAAGATAGAAATCTTTAAAAAAATATAAATTTGGAACAAATACATTGACGATGAATTTTTAGAGACAAAACGTCTGAATCTGGTTCGGGCTGAGGCAGTACATTATTGGGGTGATGAAGGCTTGCAAAAAGTGTAATAAAATTTTCCATGGTCATATTTTAAAAAAATGAAGTATGGCAAAAAGTTGCCATGAGGAAGTATTCTTCTTTTTTCAATATCACCTCAAACAAGGCTAAAATTACACAAAAACGGATTTCCAAAATTTCGGTTTTTTTTCAAAATTTCAAAACTGATTACGCAACTTTGTCCCCAATCCCCCATTTAAGCTACTTCGTATCTCTTACCGTGTCCGAGATTCCTGTAGTGAGAAGCGAATTAGTAACAGCCTTTATGTATAGTAAATTACTACTAAAAGATTAAAAATAGTATCGATATAAAGTGATTTAATTCAAAGCTTCAGTACGTTTAGAAACTTTTATTATTTCATTTCCTCCAAAATTAAAGTAACAGTTTAACACGCATTAATTATGCAATGATAAAATTAATTAATATTTTTAGATATTTATGTGAAAATTCAAGAGAAAAATTGTGTGAACACAATTGTAGTTAAAAAGATCAACGTTTTAAAATAACAAAATATCGTTGATTCGTGCACAATTTTGAGATATTTTTGCTTGGGGTGGGCCCAGGCCTACAAACTTTATTGAGGCCTCTAAAATAAACAAAATTCACGCTGTCACCAACTTACCGCAATATGACAAAGATGATATAGATCTTTTTTTCTGGGATGGGCCGTGCACACCTACAACTCTATTATATATTTTGTGCCTACAACAAGATATGGTAGGTAGATATTAAATTCTTACTAAACCTAGAACCTGATCTTTGACAAGTACTTATTTAAATAGTATACTCAAGAACGTATGGTACAACATTGTGGTTGATTAAAATTCCCTAAAATACGAGTAAAGTGAATTATGCACTTAAAAGTTTCAAAGTTATTGAAAGGATTTTAACATTCCAAAAAATTGGATAAGGAACTTTATTGCAAGTATCTAACATCTATTCATGTTTAAATGTTTATTTATTGTGATATGTAACCAGTTATACTCTGTATTGTATAAAGGGTTGCATATCCTCTAATCATACCCATAATTTCAGAAATATTTTATATAATTTTTAATAAACATATTTCTGTATTCCAATAAATTAAATTTTTATAAAATTTGCATGAACGACATAAATTAAGGTACAGTAAGTAAGTAAGGTAATTTTTAAATTTTATTTTATATACGTGTAGCCAGGCAATTTAATAAGTTTCCACATTTTGCTGGATAGTAGACTTGAACAACTGATGACTCACGATGACGTCATTGAAGCCATGAATGACGCAAATATGGGGTCGACATGTGCTAAGTTACGTCATTTCGTCGCTAAGGGATGCTAACCTGTGATGCTAACTAATTTTCCCACTTGTTAATACATAATAGATACAAATCTCCAAACTCCCGACGCAGAAAAAGTTTGCTCCCAGCTTCAATAAAATATAACCATTTTTAAACAAGTATGCGTACTAAAAGGAAAACATACAGATGAACAATATTTTTAATTGTGGTCAAGGACAAATTTGACGCACGAAGTTTTCAACATAAGTACAAATAAATATTAATTAATAATTGCCGCTATATAATATCTTTTTTAAAATTCCAATAATGAAGGTGAAATATATCTACATGCCATAATTAGGCATACAATAGATTATGTTCATTATTCAAAGTTCTGTTAGTACATTTTTAAAATAAAAAATACAGTAATTGTAAAGATATTCTTATGAATAGTTTGCATACTACATGACAAATAATCAGGAATGTCTGATTCATTTAAGAATTTGCATTGCAGTTTTAAACAAGATTATAGGTAGCTACAGTTTTGGTGAATTCAATCATAAGATTTAAAAAACTTCTGTGTGATTTTAATCTGCCACATTTCTTTTGATCGTGAAACAATTAAAAAAATTATCTGTAGGTAATCTAAAGTCGTTAAATACTTTTAAATGCTTTTACAGATTAGTTACAGGCTTTTCTCTTTATAAACATCGCAGTACCTACCTAATTACTGGCAAATATTTATATAATGTTACACATTTTTTCTTTATACATGTAAAGGTATAATTAGTTGCCTACCCTTGTCTCTTTTAATTTTTTTATATTTATTTTATAAGTTCAAGTAATGTATTTTGATATATTTTCATTTTTATTTATTTTGTGCAGAACAAGAAAAACTTGGATTGAATTTGTTTTTCTGACGGTCCCGGAGGGTGTGGGGATTCGGCTGCGTCATACACTAGGTGGCTTCGGGTGATGAAGGGAGAGAGAGGGGAACTGTATCGCGCTCTCGGGCGCCATTATTGTGACGCGCACTTGTGTTCTGTGCTTGTCCAGTGACGACCGCCCAGAAATTTTGACGTGGCTACTACGTATCGCCCGTTTACCCACTCCGATTGCAGCAAAGTTGGTGACGAGAGGAATACGTAACTGGTAAGTACCCAGCTGAAGAATAATAACAATCTGACATGGACCAGACACCCCTTCGAAGGTAGTGAATTTAAAACGAAACGTGATAGTGCCCCGTTTAAAATGTCCAGGAGTTGTTTTGCCACTTTACTGGAAAAGGTATTGAATATGGCGTCATATTGGTCATTCGGTTTTAAATTTAGATTTGGTCGGACTCATTTATCGAGACCATGAACACTACTTTTTTTTCCAGGATTTTCGCCACCCATCTTTCCGGATAGTTGTCTAAAGTTTTTGCGTTGCCAAGATTTTTTTTGTTAGGCGATTGTGGTTAGAACTCGGCCCGAATATTGCTCCTGACAGTTGTTGATTTTAGCTGATTTGTTTTTTTCTGCGCAATTATTTTACTTCTATAAATAATTACATCATAGCCATTCGTTTATTGATTCCGTGCGCGCAAAATTTGAAATAATTTATTGGAACACTTGCTAGGAGCTGAAAGAAACAATTCAAAAATAATTTTACACAAAACGTTTTGAATTTTCATGTGTTTAATATAACTCAATTTAGAACTTTATTTACTAGATACATAATGAGAATGACAAGATATATATTTTTTTAAATGACCTTGTTCTAGTAATAAGCCATGCATATATGTATTAGGATAAGAGAATAATTAAATCAGTGACCAAAATATAGGTCTTAAAAGAATGAATAAAACGTTTTTATGTACATTTTATACGTAATTTCTATTTATACATTGTCTCTTAACAAGGTAAACAGTATTTTTCGGACAAAATTTTAACACCAACATGATAGAAAATCTTGGACATCTTTATCCACCTGTTAGAGTTTCCTATATTTAATAATATATAAATTTAAATTTTCTGTTACACTTTCAGAATGAATTTTTTCCCTAATCAATTATGGGTTCTTTTGTTTTTCACGTATATATGATTTTTTTAAGCCCTATCGAACTTTATACCTAATATGTATAAGCAGTTGTATAATACAATCTACTAGTGTGCATTATTCTTAAATGACAAATATATTGCAGCAATTTTAAAACTTCTGTTGATTTCCATATTTAAAAATGCAAAAATGACAATGAAATATTTGCATAACTAAGCACATTTAAATTTTGCATGACACAATTGTATTGGAAAAAATTATTAAACATCTACAGGGTGTTTTTGAATGGAGTAGCATAAATGATACCAGTGAATCTACATTTCAAAAGAACACGATCTGCAAAAAATCGCCTTAGTAAAATGTTCACCCCTGAAGAGATATGGGCCATCAAAGTTTCCAAAAAAATTATGAAAATTGGCTGTAATTTGAAAACCGAACGAGGTACAAATAACAAATTTTTTACAGGTTGTTTACTAATACAGATGCGAGTTTTCAACTATTTTTCGAAAATTTTAACCCCTCGAAAGGGGTTGAAATAACCACCCCTCAAGCCATTTTTTGCCATAACTTTTATATTTCGTAAAAACTCGATATCCAAAAATACGCATTAGATAAACTGGTTCTTTTAGAAACTTTTATCTCTCTAGCAATTTTCCTTTAAAACTTTTCGTTTATTAATAAAAAAATAAAATGTATTACCATTCACCTCACACCGTATATGATTGCAATCAATCAAAGAAAAACTAAGTGTGCTGCTGTCATGCCAGTTGTCACAATTAACTCTTCTGTAAGTTGTCACTGTTATCAGCTAAATACTTTTTGGGTGTAAATTAACAAGAATTATGCCAAATTTTACTAATGATGAATATGTGGACATGCTACAAGTGTATTTTGAATGTCGCAAAAACTGTGCTGCGGCAACAAGAGCGTATAATGAGAGATATCCAAATCGTCAAGTTCCCCACAGACAAACTTTTTCGGCGGTAGAACGAAGACTTCGGGAAACTGGAAAAATACAGCCGCATATTGAGGGTACCGGCCGAAGACCTACTGTTCGTACTATTTATCTTGAGGATGCAGTACTTGAAGAGTTTGACGAAAATCGTCAGACTAGTACGAGAAAAACAGCAATGCACTTAAATGTGTCCCATAGTGTTGTTTGGAATATTGTCCATGATAATTTATTATATCCTTTTCACCACCGGCCAGTTCAAGCTCTACTTGAACCAGACATGCATAAGCGAGTTGTTTTTTGCGAATCGTATCTTAATATTCTAAGAAATAATTTGAATTTTGCCTCAAAGATACTTTTCACAGATGAAGCAACTTTTCAAAGACATGGTTTAACCAATATGCACAATCTTCATTCCTGGGCTCATGAAAATCCTCACGAAGTATCTATGACAACATTTCAACATAATTTTAGTTTAAACATTTGGGCAGGAATTGTAGAAAATGTGCTTGTCGGCCCTTTTGTTTTACCTCATCGACTTGGTGCTGTTGAATATTTGCAGTTCTTAAATGAGCATCTACCACCACTTCTGGAGGAAGTACCATTAAATGTACGTCAGGCCATGTGGTACATGCATGACGGGGCTCCTGCTCACAGCACTGTAGTAGTTAGGCGGTGGCTTAATTTAAATTACCCGAATCGTTGGATAGGTCGCGGCAATGAGGCACCTATCTCTTGGCCTGCACGTTCTCCCGATCTAACGCCCATGGATTTTTTCTTTTGGGGACATATAAAAAGTATTGTTTATGCGACCCCAGTTGACAGTGTTGAAGAGCTACAGGAAAGAATATTCGCGGCGGCTGATGAGATTCGCAACAATCCCATAATTTTTGCTCGAGTCCGTAACAACTTTGATAAACGTGTTAGGTTGTGTTTAGAAAGAAATGGCAATTATTTTGAAAATGTCCTTTAACTAAGTTTTTTGTTTTTTCTCTTTTTGATAATAAATTATTTCTTAGTTTCGTTTTCATTGTACTTCTATTTAATAAAAGTTTCTGCGACATTCAAACAGTTATTTGTGCAACTACTGTAAAGAGTGTGTATTTGTTGTACGATGCATGAAGTTTGCAGCTCGAGACGAAGTTGAGAGCTGCAATCATGTTAAGTGCAACAAATATGCTTTTTGCACATGTTGCACGCAACATTTTTTCTACGATTGTTTTTATTTCAAATTTTATTTAACAGTATTTTACATAATATTAAAATTTTAACTGACAACTGGAAATTAATTGCGCAAATTGTCAATGTCAGACGTTAGGTACTTATGGATATGCTTAGATTAAACTTGTAATCAATATTTTTTTTGTACTACTGTAAAAAAAGTTAAACTTTTGGCACAGTAGGTAGTGCAATAAGTAGTAAATTTTGCACGATCGTAGAAAAAAACACTTGTAGCATGTCCACATATTCATCATTAGTAAAATTTGGCATAATTCTTGTTAATTTACACCCAAAAAGTATTTAGCTGATAACAGTGACAACTTACAGAAGAGTTAATTGTGACAACTGGCATGACAGCAGCACACTTAGTTTTTCTTTGATTGATTGCAATCATATACGGTGTGAGGTGAATGGTAATACATTTTATTTTTTTATTAATAAACGAAAAGTTTTAAAGGAAAATTGCTAGAGAGGTAAAAGTTTCTAAAAGAACCAGTTTATCTAATGCGTATTTTTGGATATCGAGTTTTTACGAAATACAAAAGTTATGGCAAAAAATGGCTTGAGGGGTGGTTATTTCAACCCCTTTCGAGGGTTTAAATTTTCGAAAAATAGTTGAAAACTCGCATCTGTATTAGTAAACAACCTGTAAAAAATTTGTTATTTGTACCTCGTTCGGTTTTCAAATTACAGCCAATTTTCATAATTTTTTGGCAACTTTGATCTCTTCAGGGGTGAACATTTTACTAAGGCGATTTTTTGCAGATCGTGTTCTTTTGAAATGTAGATTCACTGGTATCATTTATGCTACTCCATTCAAAAACACCCTGTATATGAAAATTTAAATAAAAATCTTGAATTTAACAGACACATTAACAATCTGGTTAACAAACATATGACATATTATAGTGTACCCATGGATAGAGTTCACAATAAGGAAAACTGTTTTGTTGAATTTATAAAATAAAATTATTCTTTATAAAAAAAAGTCTGCTTATCTTGAAACTACAGTTTCTGATATCAATAGTGAGAGAATCGATATTAACATTTTTAATGACTTCGAAATTATGTAAAAGAGTAATAAATTCATTATCAGTTAAAACATTTGTTTTTCTCTTTCTATTGACACTTAATTGCAAATTATCGAGTGTTTAAAAAAAAATTAATGCATTTGAAATATTCAGAAATATTATTTTCATAAATTTGTTTTAGGTTACTTAAAAATATATATAAAAAAGTACAAAAGACTACAATTTCATTAATTTTAAAGGCACCGAATAACTGTATTAAAGGAAAAGTTCTTCCATAATATAATTTATATGTGTTTTAAAAACCAGTGGTATTTTGTATTTATTTTTTTATATCCTTTTAAATATTAAAACATACAAATTTATTAAAATACTATAATTTGAACATTTGCTAAAATTTTTTGCTACAAAACTAATTGCATTAAATGTTTTTTGCATTAATTTTTTTACACAGTTTCGTGATTTTCAAATATGTATATATAAAAATTAAAAAAAAATTGAAATTGTTTGTAGAATAATAAGGCCACAACTACTAAAATATGTTTGCGACAAAGGGAAAAAAAATGATTATCCCAAGTTTTTATTAAATATGCAATTTTTTTAAACTTTAAGAAGTAAAATGCGTTTTTGTTGTCAGGTGCCTCAGTCTTTAGGTGATGGACGGAATGGTGGAAGAGAATGGTCAAGTTGATCCATTGGCCCCCTCCCCTGATCCTCAGGGCCCGATAGCATCATCGGTAGGGGTCACTAATTCCCAACCTCATCTGGTGGCAGCTACTAACATTGTACAGCTCACCCTACCTTCTCATACGCAAGCACAGGTAGGGGTTGCAGTACCCCACTGTGCGTCTTACCTTCTTTTAGTTTACATTCATAGAAATTCTCCAGTAGCTGCAATTTGGGGTTTTAGATCTATTAAAACTCAAAACGGTTCTTAATAAATTAATCTGTCTCATAAATAATTCAGTTCTTGAGGTTTTAATAGGTTTAAAAATGTTGTTTAAGATATTTCAGCTATCGTGAGATGACACAGTTGACACTTATAATTTCAGGATTCGTACAGGATTTGTCAATTTGCTTAAAATCAAAATTAATATTACCTACATTAAATAATTTTATTGAACTTATTTAATTTGAGCATCCTGATTAACTTATGGAAATTCAGTTTTGTGTTGATTGTGTACATAAAAACTAGCAAAAAGTCAAAATATTGGCTATAATAATATTATTGAATAATCGATAATTTAAAAATATTGTTCTCTTTAAAACTAATTTTGATTAATTTATCTAAAGACTATACTCGTAAATCTTGTAGAATTTAGAAGATATTGAGTTTTGTTTAAAATACATTTCGCTATCGGCACCCACAAATATCAACAAATGCAAATGCAGAAAATAAGCCTTATTTATATATCTATACATAGTTAAACAAGCAGTCAAACATTGAAATGAGAATATTATTGTTGTATTTCAGTTTAAACATTAGTTTTATAAATTTGACTCCTACCCGTAAATTTTGACGTTTGTAGGCCTCAGATCCTGTGGACATTGCGATCAACATCTTTAGATCTGATAAGTGATGCAATAGACAATAGATTTGGATTTGTATAAAAATCGGTACGAAATTATGCAAATTCTTAACAAATTATTTGTACGAATGGAGCCGTTACGTTGCTTTGTTGTTAAATTTTAAGTAAAGTAAAATCAATCCAAATTATTTAATATTACAGTGTAACCGGTCACATGTAAAAACATATATTTGCATTAATCTGACATTTCATGTAAACAGATTTTCATATGAACAAACTATCTCTTTTTGTGGCACTCGTTATTAGATCTGAGGATGTCGACTGTGCTGCCTTCTAGTTGTGGATGGCCTAAACTCCTAAAACTAGGTACCTAATGTCAATAATTAGATGGAATCTCTTGTCCTGTATTTCCAACAATATAAATAATTGTGGAGAGATTTTGATCCCTTTCATTAGTTAACTATATAAATATATAAACGGGGATATATGTGCAAAAAAAAAATAAAAAACAAACCGTTCTAAAAGTGTCAGTGAATAGTGGTTTTTATGAAACTATTTTTGTTTAATCTCAATAACGAAGGAAAAACAAAAAACATTTTTCGAAAACTGTCATCAAAAGCCGACATTTTTGTTAAATTTTCAGTTGGCAAAGAAAGTCTTTTTTGTCACTTACCTGCAAAATACCGCTGCTAGAACGCCAGTCTTTTTCATTCTAGAACATAAAACAAGTGTCGAAATAATTTGTCATTTTTCGAAACTTATTTATGATTTTATTAAACAATATACATTTTAAGTAATATAACATTTCAATGCAAAACAGTAACTTTATAAACGGAACGATTACAATTTATTTTGCACTACATGTAAATTGAAAGTGCTGATATTGCAGTGAGTTAAATTTATGCCAGATGTAGTGTTGTCAGTTATCGTAGCTTTTTGTTCTGAATGTTCAAATGAGGTTGCTATTGTAATTAAGTTTAAGCGCACATATTATTGGCAACTTCCGTAGGCTCTGCTGAATATGGTAGCAATTTATTTTCAATCGAAATTTTATTTTATACAGAATCTTCTTTATATTATTCGCTACCATACTAAAATGTCGCACTTCTATGTTGTTTAATGGTGGTAATATCGGCCTCTGCGTCGGCTAACAGAGTGGTGGAAGAATGTCTAAAGCGTTGCCCTGTATAAGTTTCTGGATGAGGTAAATTGAGATAAGTTGCTATTTCTTTTGGTGCATTCCTTATTTTCTTGAGCCATCCACTTGGTTAACACATTTTTGCCTGACATACTTCATAAAAAATCTTTGACTTGTAGTAACTGCCGGACGTAAAGCACAGTAACAAAACATCTGGGAGTATGAGTTTTGGAATTGGGAATTCTTATAATAATAATTGAATCTTTGTCTTCTATATAATCGATTGTTGTCTTTAGTAGCTCATCTCTTCTCAAAACTCTACAAACACCGATTATTCTTAAAAGTTGTCCAAAATTAGTTAAATCGATCGATTTGTATTAATTTGAATTATCTTTTCTAGCAGAATTCTATTATCAGGTGCTCTTAACTTTCCGAGCTCATTTTAAATTAAACTCTTGAATATGTATGAATTACAATATATGATTCTGACACTACTTTTTCGAACAACAAATTTTTTTTGTTTATTAGGTTGCTATCGTTATGATAGTCACCATCTTGATTCAAACACGGTTCAAACGATTTCAAATATAAATTAAATTGTTAAAATAACACAATTGTCTTATTTTATTGCAGTTTTCGAAAAAATATTTACATCTTGAACACGAAATGCTTTTGCGTTCTCGAATGGATATTTTGCCTTGCTAAGCTCGGCAAAATAACTTCCATTCTTGAACACAAAAGTACCATTTCGCGTTCTAGATACAAAAACAACTATTATCTCTTATTAACATGTCAAAAATTAAACATTTTTGTTTTGAAAATTTCAACTGATATTTTATGTTATCTGCTGCTTTCATAGTTAGATTTTTTAATATTTGCAGCCAACAAGAACTCTGTTCACAGATTCAGAACTCAAATATTTGGAGAAACATCAGCCGTAGTTTTGAAAATGAAGAATGTTGACTAAGTGAAGTGATGATACCTCATACTTTTTATTTGTCCTCTTTTTTGACTTATATTTTTGGTGTAAGGGTATATTTAATTAATTTAAAATTTTGTTCGCATGTAGTAAAATACTCAAAACAAAAAAAAATGACATCTAAGTATGTCAAAAATAAGTATCCAATGAAATGAACTGTTCTAGCCATAATCCAATTTGATCATTTGTTAGTTTTTAATTGAACTCATTTTATGTAAATTTTGTCACATTTCATCAGCTTTTATGCATGGTATTAGCAGTATTAACGAGGATTTTTTGTAATTCAAGGTACAAAGTGTCATTCAACCCAATCAACAGTCAGTAATTCAAACGGCAGCCAACATTCAACCTATGCTCAGTAAGGGGAACGTCATATTAGTTAGTAGCAAACCAAATTCTGTTATACAAACGACACAGGGAAGCCTGCAGACTTTGAGAGTGAGTATTAAGTCCTTTTGGCAATACCGCAAGTTATTTTTAACTGTATTTTGAATACAGGTGGTAGAAGCCGGAAGTGATGACAGTTTTTCCGAGGAAGAATCTCCCAAGAAGCGAAGAGACTTGCTTACCAGGAGGCCGTCGTACAGAAAAATTCTCAACGATCTTGGCGGGGGTGAGATAGCTGGTATGTTTTTTAATGCATGTCTTGGGGTCTCTCTAATCGTGTTTGGTAAATTTCTCCCGATTTTTTTTTTAGTTCCTATCGGTTGATTTGTAGGACATTAGTTTTTATTTCGAATTGACAATATAAAAGTTACGAGGTATTTGTTTATATTTTTTTAATGGTTTATTTGCATGACTTATTATTAGAAGTGATTCACACGAATAGAACTGTCCCAATATAATGTATTACGAACCATATGTAATGTAATACAAGGATATTTTTTGTGTTGCCTAAATCCATAGATTTACGTCTTAAAGAAGTACATATTCGTGTGAATTTCACCTACTCTGTAATGCATGAGAGAGTTGTATCTAAATTAAACCGCTGGCAATATAAACGTGAAGCTGTTAATCCAACAACGGCATGCCGGCTCTCGCGTTTATCTTGCCGATTGATAAAAACCCATTGTTTTGAATTTACTCACTGCAAACAGAATTTGACGAAATCGAATTCTGTTCTGTATTGCATGCATGGGCTATAAGGATATATACAAATAATACATTCTTTTTTCCTGATCTACTGGCTAAAACTTGACGTTTGACTTGTGGTATGGGATTCACTGTTCATACACATCCAGTACAAACAATGGGCTTATCAAAATTCTTGCTATTGTAAATTGTCTAGTCGCTTAAGAAAATGTCGAAGAAAAACAAAGTTTCGCATGACATTGTAAATTTAAAACGTGATCGTAATCGGTTAAGTTAAACCGTTTAAAAGTGATTGAAATACTTGTCACAAACAATGTTTTGTAATTAACAGAAATGTGATTTTTTAAAAAATATACAGGGTGTTTTTGAAATACAATAAACTCACACAGTAGAAAATATTTCTTATGAACATGACCCGAAAACTATTAATAAAAAAAAATTTTAGAGTTATAAAGTTATAATTGTCATTGTATTTTGGATATTAGATAAGTTTTTTTTTTTGTTTGTAGATACTCTGGAAGTATAAGGCATACAGATATAATATTTTGTCCGGTTCAAAATGCACCAAACGACCAACATTTATGATAGTATGCAGTGTCATTTTTTTAAATTATGCCGAGTATCATTTTTTGGGAGGTAACGAAATAATTTCTTTTTATGGAACAGCATCTTAAAAGAAAAAAAGTCACCTTTATTAGATATTGATAAACTGCTTTCGCATTGTTTAGTAATTCATAACTTTTAGACTTCCAGTTAATAAATACCTACCCTTATATTGTACGCGGGAGCGCAAATGGCTCCATCTGTCGTGCTGACTCTCAACTGTGCCATTCAAATGGCTACAGTAGGAAGCGACCTGCCATATTGCAGATACTTGTTGTACGACTGACACCCACAGAGGACGAAGACAATGTTTTAATTGACCTCTGTGGGTTGCAGTCGTGCAACAAGTACCTGCAATATGGCAGGTCGCTTCGTACTGTAGCCATTTGAATGCCACAGTTGGGAGTCAGCAGAACAGATGGAGCCATTTGCGCTCCCGCGTACAATGTATTTCCTAGTCGTGAGGATACGATGCAAAACAGCTGATTCGTTCGTCGGTTATCTCGCCTATGACACATTGATGAGGACTAATAAGTCTGAAACTGGTCTGTGTCTGGTGGGTTAAACTGACGAACGCCCCTAGTTGTTGCACTAGGTGTTGCGAGTATAATTCAATGCCGGTAGGGGCATATAGCCCTAGGAGTAGTTGTTTCTCACAACACTGACAATTAAAACCTACCCTTATATATTACCCAAGAATTAAAAGGTAACAATTAATGGTACTTTAAGGAAATTATGTTCCAAAATTATTTCGTCTTTCCTCCATTGTTCTAATGCTTCGAAAATGACAGCATGTTGTTGTGCATAAATCAACCCCCTTTGACAGTGCACAGTTTTACAATTTTTTTTTTTAATAAGAACAATAATTTAAATAACTATTACAGTTTTGATGAAAAATTAAATCTTGTTTTCACCATGAGCGTTAGTAAGAATGTCCCTTTACCTTTTGACAATATATTTTGCTAAAAATAGACACAAACAATTTGTTTAATTATCCCTGTTGCCTCCGCCACTGTATCAGGAAAGATTATAGCTTCACAAGTTTATGACAATCGCTAATCTAAAGATCAGAATCAAGTTTGATTTCTTCTTCTTCTTTCCTAGTGGTTGGTCCTAATAAGTCTCATGGCACCGCGGCCTAATTAGGCCTATTGTGCGTCCTACTACTAGTCCTATTCAGCAAGTAGTTTTGTCCTTTTGACAAAGTCCAAAAGTTTCCTTGCTGACACTTTTCTCAGTTCCTTGGGTTCCAAATAAGGTCTCCCCAGGAGCGTCATTCTACTACGTGCAATTCCTGGGCACTCGCCCAGGATATCCAGAGAAGTTTCATCCGCCGAGTCACATCCTCGGTAGACCGGACTGTCTACAAGCTTTAGCTTATGTAGATGTTTCCGAAAGTGACAGTGTTCCGTTATGTTTCCCGTCACTCTCCTGAGCCGGATTTTATTCAAGATCAGTAAATTGTTTGCTCTTCGAAGGATATGCCATGAGCTCCTTAGAATGACTATGTCCTGGCCTTGAAATCCAGTATTTCCTATGTTCTGTCTCGGTCCATTTGCCCAGAGCCCGCCTGACTACACTGGGAGATGTACCACAGAAGGGCTCCGGGCCAATGAACTCTCCCCTATCTCATTCCCACAAATGCCTTTGTGCCGTGGCACCCAAGTTTCATTTAGATTTGATTTTAAAAAAATGTTTTTGGCAGTGTAACTTTATCATACAATTTTTTTTTACTTCTGGTTTTCGGCAGGGATATTCCGAATATTCATATTTTCATTTTAAATTCTCTTTTGCCCATTTGATTGCGGAAGTNTAAATCTTGTTTTCACCATGAGCGTTAGTAAGATAATGTCCTTTTACCTTTTGAGAATATATTTTGCTAAAAATAGACACTGACAATTTTTTTTAATTATCCCTGTTGCCTCCGCCACTGTGTCAGGAAAAATTATAGCTTCACAAGTTTATGACAATCGATAATCCACAGACCAGAACCAAGTTTATTTTCTTCTTCTTTCCTAGTGGTTGGTCCTAATGTCTCATGGCACCGCGGCCTAATTAGGCCTATTGTGCATCCCACTACTAGTCCTATTCAGCAAGTAGTTTTGTGCTTTTGACAAAGTTCAAAAGCTTCCTTGCTGACACTTTTCTCAGTTCCTTGGGTTCCAAATAAGGTCTCCCCAGGAGCGCCATTCTACTACGTGCAAATCCTGGGCACTCGCCCAGGATATGCAGATAAGTTTCATCCGCCGAGTCACATCCTCGGCAGACTGGACTGTCTACAAGGTTTAGCTGATGTAGATGTTTCCGAAAGTGACAGTGTCCCGTTATGAGTCCCGTTACTCTCCTTCGCTGCATTTTATTCAAGCTCGGTAAATCGTTTGCTCTTTCCTTTGAAGGATACTCCATGAGCTCCTTAGAATGGCTATGTCCTGGCCTTGAAGTCCAGTATTTCCTATGTTCTGTCTGGGTCCATTTGCCCAGAGCCCGCCTGACCATACTGGGAGATGTACCACACAAAGGCTACGGGCCAGTGAATTCTGTCTCGGATCCCTTCCTAGCAAGTTCATCCGCTTTCTCATTCCCACAAATGCCTTTGTGCCCTGGCACCCAAGTTTCATTTAGATTTGATTTAAAAAAATGTTTTTGACAGTGTAACTGTATTATACAATTTTTTTTTACTTCTGGTTTTCGGCGGGGATATTCCGAATATTCATATTTTCATTTTAAATTCTCTTTTGCCCATTTGATTGCGGAAGTTTAGGGAAAACAAAAATGCAAACAAAAAAGGAAAATTTGTAAAAAAATATGTTTCATTATAAAAAAAAAATATTTTTACACAGTCCGGCTATTATGTTTTAAGTTTTATTTAAGTATGTGGTGTTATCTATGGTCAACTGAACTATGTACTGGGAAACCTTCCAAGCGATGTAACAAAATTTCATCAGTATGCATTTATCTATCACGACGTTATAATGTTTTGCGTGAACCGATTTTTGATAGTTGTCATGAAAATGCACATTGGACAGCATATATGAAACAAGTTCTGTTTTAAAGCCGGTAAAAGAGCCATAGAGACATATCAACTGTTACAAACGGCGTACGATGTCACGTTCAACTGTGTTCCTGTGGTTCGGGAGATTTTGTGATGGCCGAGACAGTGTGCATGATGACGAGAAGACAGGGCGTCCCGGCACAAGCCGAATGAATGAAAACATCGAAGTTTTGCGCTGAAGTCTGATTGTTGATCAATCGTACATGGTCTGCCAACATTCTGTTGGTAAAACATAACTTCATGGTAGATACACAATGAAATTTTGTTCGGTAGCTCGGAAGGCTTCCAGCTACCTAGTTCCATTGATCGCACATAGATATTGCCACATACTTCGGTACAATAAAATCAGTCTTAAAACTTAATAGCCGGACTGTGTTCTAAAACAAGTTTTATTTACTTTGATAAAACCAAAATACGTTTTATTCTGTTGTTTAAATAAAAGCTTTATATTTTGTTTTGATTTATATTTTTTATAAATTACAAAACGATACTACAAAATATTTAAAAATTGTACTGACTCCTGTCATATATACATTGAGCCAGATATACAGGATGTAACTTAAATACATGAAAATATTTCAGAGATGATCATTTTAGGAAGAAAAGTTTNTTATATTTTAAATTTTCCTTTGCCCATTTAGTTGCGGAATTTTAGAGAAAACGAAAATGCAAAGAAAAAAGGAAGATTTGTAAAAAAATATGTTTCATTAAAAAAAAAAAAATTATTTTTACACAGTCCGGATATGTTTTAAGAGTTTTATTTGAGTATGTGGTGTTATCTATGCACAGTCAACTGAACTACGTAGTGGGAAGCCTTCCGAACGATGTAAGAAAATTTCATCGGTATGCATTCATCTACCACGAAGTTATAACGTGTTGCGTGAATCGATTTTTGATAATTGTCAAGGAAATGCACATTGAACAGCATATATGAAACAAATTCTGTTTTAAAACCGGTAAAGCAGCCATGGAAACGTATCAACTGTTACAAATGGAGTAAGGTGAGGAGTGCATGTCACGTCCAACTGTGTTCCTGTGGTTCGGGAGGTTTTGTGATGGCCGAGACAGTGTGCATGATGACGGGAGGACAAGGCGTACCTGCACAAGCCGAATGAACGAAAACATCGAAGTTTTGCGCTGAAGTCTGATCGTTGATCAATCGTATAGGATCTGCTAACATTCTGATGGCAAAACGTTATAACTTCATGGTAGATACACGTATGCTGATGAAATTTTGTTTGCTCGTTTGGAAGCCTTCCCGCTACGTAGTTCCGTTGACCGCACATAGATAGCGACGCACACTTCATCACAATAAAATCAGTCTTAAAACTTCATAGCCGGACTGTATTCTAAAACAAGTTTTATTTACTTTGATAAAACCAAAATATGTTTTATCCTTTTGTTTACATAAAAGCTTTATATTTTTAGTTGTGATTTATTTTTTTCTGTATAAATTACAAAACAATACCACTAAATATTTAAAAATTGTCCAACTCTTGTCATATACATTGATACAGATATACAGGATGTAACTGAAATACATAAAAATATTTCAGAGATGATCATTTTAGGAAGAAAAGTTTGATCTATTTTATAAATAGATTAGTTTGAGATATGGGATGTTAGTTTTTGAAAAATATTACATTTCCGAAAATTTATTTGATGTTCAATCTAGCTTGAATAAATGAAACTTGACCTAAAGTCTTTGAAGAGAGTTTAGATAATTTGAAGTAAAAAATCATTGAATTTGTATACAATTATGTAAACCAAAGAAACAAAGCATTTTGATGTCACTGAGTTCGAAGTACATTTCATTCTGATTGTATCTCAATGAAAAAGGAACTTTTCCATTTTATTTGGAAAATGAGACATTTTTTAATCATTTTGTAAATCTAAAATATTTTAGGTACCACAAAATGGAGTGAATAGCTAACTCTAAAACTGTTTGTTTTAAAGAAAAAGTCTATAAGAATATTTTTTTGCTTCAATTATTATTACCTGTACATTTTAATTAGCATAAAAAATAAAAATTAATATTTTTTTTAATTATAACAGACGTTTTTATGGCCCCCTGAAAAATTTTCCCAATGTGGGATATGTCATATTAGAACGAGTGTATCAATATGATATTAAAAGATAAAATAAAACATTAGCTTGAAATTTTTGAATTTTCTCCTAAAAAAATAATTTCTACTGCAATATGTTATTTTTAAACATTTAATGACTATGCAGTATTAAAAATTGTATTGATAACAAAAACTGCTTCTAGATTTTTTTCTGTGAAATAAGTAATCTTAATACATATTACTTTCAATTTATTTAAATGTAAAAAGCTTATTTTTGATTTAAAAACATAGCAACTCAGAAATGTTGTTTTCCAAATAAAACAGAGAAGATCTTTTTTCGTTGAAATACAATTAAACGTCAAACGCAGTAATCCAATATCCAAAATATTCAGTGGTGTTGAAGTTTTGAAGTTTTTAGTGGATATGATCTCTCTATTCTCTTATCTGTGTCGCTGTTAGAAAGGAATATTTGCAAAGAGCAAACATGTTTTTAATCGTTTACGATATAGGTTCATACGAACTTTTATTCTTTAAAAATTATTCACTTTACTTTTACATGCATTAATAGAAGTTGATTGATTTATTTTTAGTATTCGTGAATACCATTTAGAAATATTTATATTTGAAAATCTCACATCTGGCTAGTTTTCAGACTGAAGGTTGTAAGAGACTTTTATCTCAATTAGAAATTTCGTACAGCACCATATTTTAAAAACGCCCTAAATAATTTTCATTTTGTTTCAAAATAATATACGATTTGAAATACAAATTTCAGAGTAAATGCATCAAGACCCCAAAAATAGATGTCTGAGGAACACCTAAAAATGTTTTTAATCAAAATGTTTTTTTATTTTATAATGTTTAACTATATAAAAGCACGTTGAAAAGTTAATGTAAATGTCCTAGTTATCACACAATATTTGTAATATTTTAACATTTTTTTAATTAAATAATTAATGTGCATAAAAGATACGGTTAAGCTTAATCCAATACTCGATCATAAATATTTTTGTCAAGACATCGATGTGTGTGAAATTTTGTAATTCAGAAGTTTTTTTAGTGACTAGGCCCTAAAAATGTGAACATTGTAATAACAGGCATATAATTTATGGTGTTCACAGAAGGAAAGGTCGAGCAAACTTCTTCGGAGGCGGACAGTGAGTTGTCCTCACACTCTATCCCATACCACACAGGTTAGTCTGACGAAACAAACGTAAGCACTCACCTCTACCTATGTCTAGATTAGCCCAAGCACCACTTCTACTAACCCCGTAGTATATTAGCTTAGACGCTCCTGAGATCCTGTAGGTATAAGCTGGTTTAAGTTTATGCGTCGTTGGAAAGGCAAGAAACTGCAATTGTTCCATAAAAACGGTTGGAGATTAAATTTCAGTTTCTTGGCCTTCAGCCTCTACCGTTTTCCATGGATGTGTATGATTTTTTGAGTAGCAATACGTGTGTTAGAGAGAACATAATTACTATTTAATTAAAAAAGTATTTTTTCGAATGCAAATTTTGCAAATGCAGAAAAATAAAAAAAAATCACTGTAAAATTCTTTACTCCACTTTATATCCACTCCGATTCACATAAAACTTCCCAGCCTGATAATAAAAGATTTTTTGATTCTGTAAATATCAGTTGATAGAGTGTTCAATGTCGTTGATTAAAAGTCCTCATTTAATTTTTCCAAAGCAAATTGTAGGTGGCGCTAGAGTCAAAAGATATTTTTCTTTTGTAGCAAAGTTGGAAAGTCACTAGTGCACACTGCCATGAAATTTTAAGAAAATTATGTAATAATAAACCAAAATTTAATGGTTTTTGAAATGTTCCATGATGAACAAAAGGCAGTCGAAATTAATAATGATTTTGAAATGCTCAAAGATGAAGCGTTTTGAGTTTTCTGTTGTATAATTTATCAAATTTTTAATGGGAGTTCTCTTAAAAACTTTTTTTGTTTGTAAAAAAAAACTTACTGATAATTCAATTTGAATTCCAAAATAAATACAGTACACATTGTCTTATCTTAAATATTGCTACATTCAAAGTAGTCATACTGTAACTGAGCAAATGTATTCAGCTGAAGGCAACTAACCAATTTATGTCTGGGGACTTACTATATATTTATAATTCAGTGTTGAACGAGGCGTGTAGCTTGCAGAGTAGTTGGTTTCCCATAATGTTGGTTAAAATTACAAATTGTATCTGAAAATGTCTCAATTTTTTATATGTAAAATATACTCTATAGTGATTATTTGTAAGGTGAGTTTAACTTTTAGGTTAGAACTCGCGCGTTTAAATAAAATTGCTTTTGAAATTTTGGTAAGTTTTCCCGATGTCTACTATATTTTCAGTTTAGGTATCATCTAGCCTATACAGTTATTGTTGCTTTAATATTTTTTCATTTGTGTAATGAATCATCTTTGAGTTTAATAAAAAAGCAATTTATAAATCTTAATTTCCTTTAAAACATTTTTTTTCTAGCAATCACCATAAAATGCAGTTTTACGAACTAACTCATTTCTGAAAGACTCCATCAAGGGAAATAATTAATATGCTGACATATCCCCTCCATATTATCTTTTTGACCTCAGTGCATATACACGGCTGGAAAATCCACATGGTCCATCTGCCTTTACATGAGAGCGACAAAGTAAGGTAAAGAAATTCGTGCGGTAGACAAGGATGGCTGTATTGAAGACGTTTCATAATCTGAATAGTCACCGCCCGTTTCGAGTTAGAAGTGGGAGTGACTTCAGATTATGAAACGTCTTCAATATAGCCATCCTTGTCTATCGCACGGATTTCTTTACTTTGTCGCTCTCATGTAAAGGCAGATGAACCATCCATGTGGATTTTCCAGCCGTGTATAATGCACTGTATATTCAACGTTTTTATTACAAGGAATAATGTGCTTTAGCACACCAATAGAGAAAATACCAATTCTATACTTATTTTAAACATTTTAAGTTTTATTATTTGAATTCAGGTTTTTACAAAATCCAAAAATCTTTTTCCATTTTCATGTTTAAGTGTTTATGTGGTACCGGATATTTCAATTTACAGATGTACAGGTCATTAACATATTAAGAAAAAAACAAATGAAGTTCAAATCTGTTTTTATTAAATAGAAAAATGCACTTATTTGGAAAATATAACTTATCCATAATCTCCTGACGGGCGTAAAATAGTGTTATTAGATTTGGAATAAAAAAATTGTTAATACGTTATTAGATTTGCAATTGTAAGGAAATTATAGTTTTCAAGTATGCACATTCTTATGTATCTTTAATAAAAAAATGCTTCAGATTCATTGGTTTTTTACTTATTACACTAATGACTTAGTAAAGAATACGAATGTCTGGTATTTCAATGTTTTATTCGCATTTATTTTCTTCCATTTTGTATATACGAGTTCTGTCCAAAAGCCAAGTTCAGTGTTGTGATATTAATACATTTCCTTGCAGTGCTACCCGCAACAGCAATTCAAATTTCTAGTGGTGAGGGAGGTCAAGGTATTCATACATTAACGATGACGAACTCTACGGCTGGGGGAGCTATCGTACAATACGCACAGGGCCAAGAATTCTTCGTACCAGGTATTTGTATGTTTCTATATATTTTGTCTTATTTTAATGTTTTGCTTTTTTAATTTTTTTTTTTTTTTCATTTTAATTCACGATGTATATAAATGTGGAAAACTGATAATTATCAGGAAATTTCATAGATCCAAAGATATTTCTAAATTCATTGGAATTTTTTATACAGGGTATAACTTTAAGTGGGGGTCATATTTATAGAGGCTACTTTTGTTCATTAGAAATACATATTGATGGTTTATTTTTTCAAATTTTGTCATGAAATCTTATTTTTTAAACCTTTTTTTAATAATTTTCCTACCACTCCTCTGGACAAACTAGTGTGATCTCAAACAATGGCTCATGATAGTCCAGTGCATGCACAATTGAGAACTGGGCTACGCATTGTTGTCAAATCTTAGGAAGGATTATTAAAAAGCAAATTTCACATCACCCGCCGTGACATACTGCTCTTTAGATAATCCATTTGACATTGTCTTCTTGCAGCAGAATCGTTTTTCCGGACAGAAAGTAAGCTCTAATCATATCGGCTCTTTTTCAATGTTTTTTCATATCACTTAAAATCTTGAAAATGAAAACAATACACTGTACCGTCACTAAACACAACACTGAAATAAATATCTTCATAAGGTTATACACTTACACCACACAAAGGTACTATACAAACACCTTTTCATGAAATGATATAGTAAGAATAAGAATGTAACATAATTGACCAAGCCCATTTTGCGAATTAACGTGGCAGTTTGTCTTTAACGTGTTTAGTCGTCATATCAGAACACCTGCAACCTTGGCATGTTAAGAGAACAGCGGGGACTATCCTCCGCTGCCCCCTTCGTAAGCGTATTTCTTCACATACTGTACGTAGTGACAGTAAATCTAAGACAGTGTTACATAAAATTTGCACTACTTAAAAAAACAGTAACATATAACACAGATTAGTCGACACAAATGTGACATTTTTTCCCTTAAGGAGGTTCGGTACCAAAAAGTAAATGGTAAGAAAGTTTTCAAAGCAATTGAAATCTGTTAATATATATACAAACTGCCTCGTGCAAAAATATTGATTGATTGCCAACATAGTTTTTTTGGAAAAATGATATTAAAAATTATGCTCTTATACACAGACTCTTATGGGATTTGGGAAAAAACTTTCATCAAATGTGAATATTGCTCTTAAAAATGGTTAGGATCAAGAAAATAAAATTGTAAAGAATTGAATATTACTAAATATTTTAAAACAATAAAAATATGCACTTACAATGTAATTATTGAGATAATGGAATGAATATATAACCTTTTGACAAATTTCTTCGACTGACGTGTTATATTTGAATAGCTCGATTACAGACTATAAAATTATTCCAGTCGAAAACATATGTAATGTAATATTAAATAAATTTTTCGTGATCTAATGCAATATAATAGCAATTTGAAACAAAAATTCAAAGGATCTCTGGAAAAATAGATGCTTTGTCATAACCTTCAATTCGAAAAGGCTACGTCTCACAATCATACTCTGAGCTTCTTGATAGTTATCACATGGATTCATGGTTTGCACATTTTGCTTTTTTTTTCATCAATCCATATTCTATCTGTTCCATACACCTTTTACATTGCTTTTTGTTCATTCATTTTTATGGTATTCGCGCTATTAGCGCTAAGCACAGTTGACAGTTGATCCAACTTTTACCACCACGCCATACTGATGTGCAATGTTGCCAGTTTTCACCCATAGTTTTACAGGCTCTTAATGAATAGACAAAGTAATATTTTTCTTTACAAATGTCACTGATGTAATGGTGGCAGTTTTGGATATAATGTACTTTTACTTTTTGAAATACTTTTTCAATTCTTAACTTGCCACACTCACCACTAGTGTTGCTCAGACATTTCGTTTACTCACGAAAATAGAAAGCATTTTCATTTCAATGCAAAATATAAAATTTTTTTGTAATAAATAAATTTTTTTCCTAATTGGTACAATTGTTTTGGTGATCACTATAATTTTCGAAATAATCATACTCTGTTCATATTTATAAGGAATTTGGGGCATAATTTAGGTTTTTTTCTCTGTTTATTCGGTACTTTCCCACCTATAAAAAATTCATTAAATAAAGCTTTACACCAAAAGGCGTAAACTGTTATTTTTATGAAAATAGTTTTGCCAGTCCAGAAGCGTTATTAAATCATATACATCAGTTAGTTAACGTTTCGAAAAATTAATCTTTTTTTTGGTGAAAACTGGGAATGACGTTTCTTTTTTAATTAACCTGATTAATTAATAGTTATAGTAATTAATAACCAAATATAGTTTAATAAACCATTGTGGTGCAAGAGTTTATTTAATTTTTTCACCGGTGGCAAAATATCCAGTAAACAGAAAAATGGAAATTGATGGAGACATTTTCTTATTCTTAAAAATTTTTCAAATCTGGTTAGAAAACTTGGAAATATCAGGGAATTTTTTACCAAAATTTGCTATATACCCTGTCAATTACCGAGCGAAGTGAAATATGAAGTAATGTACAATTTTTCAGTTGTGGCCCAGAGCGGCAACATATCGGGCAGCGCGGGCGAAGACCAAGCCAGGAAGCGAGAGATGAGGCTCCTAAAGAACCGTGAAGCAGCGAGGGAATGTCGAAGGAAAAAAAAGGAATACATCAAGTGCCTGGAGAACAGGGTGGCCGTGCTAGAGAACCAAAACAAAGCGCTCATCGACGAACTGAAATCCCTCAAAGAACTCTATTGCCAACAGAAAACCGAATGAGGTTTGTCTCGCTTCTACAAATTGGTGAAGGACTCGTTTTTGTTTATCGCCAGGGGAACACTGGTCTAATAGGCTAGATTAAGTTCTATGTGTTTTTCTTCAGCGATGGACTTCGTTGAACGTACATTTGAGTGCATTTTTGTTAGCGATGCATTTCGGGCCGGGACTCTAGGGGTTTGTTAGGAGATATCTTATTTTTTTACCAAAAAGGAATGTGGACCTAGAGGGTACGGTGCACTTGAGTCGGTCGAGAGGTATTTATTGCGTTTTATATTCAGGGAAAGTCGGATCGTAACCTTACACTTTTACGAATTATCAAAATATCTTACAAAAAATGTTCATGTGAATTACTTCAGTTGAAAGTAAGATTATGCTTAACTTTCTTAAGGTTACGTCTTGGATATTCCATTTGGGAAAAACGTGAACTTGGATTATTACGGATGTGCAATATTTCAGCAAGAGTGGAAGCAATCTACTTTGTAAAGCACTTTATGGTATGTAATTTTTTTTTTGTTTAACAAAATTTTATGATATTGCTCAAAAAGTCACTTGTAACATTTACAAATTGTTTAAAAAATAAATAGTTAACAAGTAAAAATTTTAATGGGAGAAATATTCGATTGATTGTAGGGTAAATTCCTGTTTTCTGAAAAAAAATTTAAAATTGCTATTTTTCAAGGTACAGGGTGTCCCAGCAAATTCTCACAGATTCAAATAGAACTTGCAAAATGTCGCATATATTTTTATTTCACATATATTTTTATTTGCGCTCACCCTGTACATTTATTTACTTTTGATGTCAAAATTTAAATAATTTTTAGAAGTAATTAAAGTTATTTCTCCGTTTTTAAGTGAAAAAGGAGTAACTGTGTCCAGGGTGTCCCGGTTTTATTGGTCAGGGGCAATGTATAGGGAATCTTATTTTAATACAAAAGTTCATATAAACATAAAATCTAAAAATAAATGTTTTTATTTTTTATCTTCCAAACTATCAAGTCCAAACCAAATTTGGTATAGAAAATATATAAATAAAGGGTCATATGAGTGAATAATGTCGCTTTTCTAAATTAAATTTAACTAAAGTTAAATGGGTAATCATACCCTAATTAGATAAAAAAAATTGTACGGCCTTATATATAATAAAAACTAAAATCATTTTTTAATAAAGTTTTCAATTACAAATGTTTCTTAATATATTTTAGTATGTCGTCGTTTCGTGGTAGACTTGATTTTTTCAATTTAAATATTTTTGGAATTATTTTTTTTTATCTAATTGACAAAAAAAAAAGTCTGTATTTTTCATGCGACATATGTTATCCATAGTATTTTTGCCTCCTGATCACAAATCCGGTGTCAGAATTGAGCTATCACATCACAGAAATTTCCTAATCTCAAAAAACAAGTCAAAAATAGCAAAAATTGAAAAACCACACTGTTTATCAATAAATTCGTGAATTAATTGATGAAGAACTTCGTCAATAATAACTTCGTCAATGTAAAAGAGCTTTTATTTTTTGAAAGTTCGTGTTATCTGACCTTAATTGACCTGTCTTTTTTGAGATTAGAAAAAGAAGAAGATTCGCGTTCAGCGGGGTCTTACCCATATAAATGAACATTTGAATATAGAAACAAAATTTGTTTGTACTTTTCCTAGCACTTTTTTTGTGAATTTTTGCTATTTTTGACCTGTTTTTTGAGGTTAGGAAATTCCTATGATGTGATAGCTCATTTCTAACACCGGATTCGTGATCAGAAGGCAAATATATAAGGGATAACATATATCGCATGAAAAGTACAGACAACTTTTTTTTTTTGTGCGTGGCTGTGTAATCAGTGGGACCGATTATGCATATCTCCACCTCTAGTTAATATGACCTTTTATTCATATACCTTCTGTATTAAATTTAATTTGGATGTCTGATCATTAGGAAATTAAAAAATAAAAACATGTTTACCGAAGACATCGTACTATTTTCGACATATCTTGTGATAATAGTAATAAAATAAATAAATGCGTGAAAACAAAAATTAGTCATTTATGCAGCAAAGTAAATATGTAAAATCAAATGGTATTTGGCATTGCGCATTTATTTAGTTAAATAAAGAACCGCATTCATTGCTTTCAGATTTTTATATTACTAAGATATGTCGGAAATATTATGGTATTTTTAATGGTCAATGAATGCATTTATCTTGAAAACAATTGGTTGCATTGATAAACAATGGTGGTGACGGAAAATTTTCGATATTTTATTAATTTATAAATTACATATTCTCAGTTTCTGATTCCCATAAATGTTCCAAAAATTTTGTTCTAAAATTTGAACTATCAAAAAACATCTCATTTGCCTTTTTATAGCCATTATTAATTACATGTAATTGTAATTATTAAAACGTAAATATAATATAAATAATTTTAATAAATTTATATAATTTGATTATTTCTGAAAAATATTATGCCAAGAAATATTTTCTTTTGATTATTTTTCAGATTTAAGTAGTAAAATCACATAAAATCCAATAAGATAGTTAGATAACAAAACATAAAAATTAGTATATTGCAATCGCCAATAATACTGCAGATAAGTGTGTATTATAACAAATTAACTGAACCTTACCACGATTCGCAATGGCTATTTATTTACAGCGCCACCTATTGAAAATTGCTCATGGTACTTTCTAAACCTTCCGAAAAATGTTTCAAACATAACCTATAAATTTGAGCTCGATCGATCTACTGTATTTGAGTCTAAAACTGACTCACCAACATTGATTTGTATATGTACGAGGTCTGTCCCAAAAGTATCCGACCTTCATATTTACCCGCTGGTGTTATTCTGCGTTATCGGGCTGGTGGCATCCTTTGAAGTAGCCGTAACATTTTTTGGTATCGCCTTTAGAGCGTTTGTCATATTAGTTTCGATATTTTCGACATTTTTAATCTTGGGAACAGCCAAAATTCGCAGGGAGCTACGTCAGGACTGTACGGAGGCTGATGAAGCCGTACAACTTTGTGCTTTGTCAAATATTGCTGCACGAGGTTTGATGCATTAGCTGGCGCATTATCGTGTGAAGTCACCGCTTGACCAAAATTGATGCCGTTTTCTTCTAATTGCGTCACGCAATCTTTTCATAACTTCAAGATAATATTCTTTGTTGATTGTCTGGTGTTTAGAAGCACATTTGTGGTGCACAACACCCTCACAATAAAAAAAAACAATCGGGAACGACTTGATATTGCTTCGACTTTGGCGCACTTTTTTCGGTTGTGGCTCCGACGACAGCTTCCACTGTCGTTTTGTTTCGAGGTCATAACCATAAACTCACTTTTCATCACCAGTTATAATCTTTTTAAGCAGATTTTTATCGTTGTTGACCATTTCCAAATTGTCCTGAGCGATTTCAAAGCAAAGGTTTTTCTGCTCCACCGTTAGCATTTTCGGAATGAATTTCGCACACATACAAACCATTTGCCTATTTTCAGTCAAAATCTTCCAAACACTAGTTTTCGGTATCCCATGATCTCATTCTAATTCTCGCACAGTCAATCGATGATCTTCATTGATCGCAAGTCGCACACGTTCGATATTATCCGATGCCACTCTTTTATTTGTGCTCATACACTCGTCCCCAAATGCCGTCTTCATCATTTCAATGGTCTCCGCCCAACTCTTTTCGAGTTTAAAGCGAAATTTAATGCAAATTCGTTGCTCCGATCTTTCCGTCATTTTTTACAGTAGCAAATGCGACGAACGTAAAAAACTCTTTGTAAACAAACGCATGCTGAACGTGAACTAAGGCGTCCCAATGAAAACTGCGGCATCTAGGAAGTTTGTGAAGCTTTACAGTTGACACTCGTACCCGGCAGAGGGCACTAAAATTCTCAGGCGCGAAGTTATGAAGGAAGGTCGGATACTTTTGGGACAGACCTCGTATATAGATTAGTATGGAAAATTTTTCAAAATCAGTAATTTTGGGAAAAATTCTCGTTCTCATAATTAGGAACTATTCTCCAGTTTTTGTGAATGTTCTTGGAGAATTAACAAGAATGTTCTTGAGCTCGCATCACTTCAAAGTGGTATATTTTTTTCATTTAAAAAAGTACAAAAGTTCTAGAAACAGTGATAAAGGGAACATACATTTTTTTTTTGGAGTGGGCCATGACTTCCAAGGGAGCTTTGCCCCTTTCCCCCAAAATCGATTTTCAACTCTCAATTTCAACAGTTTAACTTCACAGGGTGGCCCCATATTTAAAAAAGTGTGTGATGTTATTTTTACAGCCCTACCCAGATCTGGGAGATTGCTCACCATTTCCTAGACACCCTGTATATTCAAGCTTATTAGTTTCACGTTGGTCTTTGGTTATTTTTTATGTCGCAGATTAATTACAGTCACTCTACTGACAGTTTGTGACCTACAAAATTTTTGTAATTGTTAACTTTTTATTTTTGTGAACTTCACCTAGATTGACTTTGTAAAATTTTTTGTAAGTTTTTACTGCAAAAGAACTTTCATCACTTTTTACTATTTACTGGGTTTTAGATTTTTTTTGTTACTAACCAAAGAAATCGATTTTGATTAGTAATTTTTTTGATATTGTAGGTGTTTTATGCATTTTTATAATACCACTCAATTTTTGAATGAAGAAAGGACTTATAACATTGAATTTGTACCAAATATTAAAACGTATACATTTACGTTTACATTAAAATTTTTGTCTGAAAAACTCTCGGTATATATTTAATTGTATATACTTGTGGATAAGTACAGCTTGAAATTTTTTATCATTTATATTTACTCTTGCAACTGCATATATTTGTATAATATTTATAATATGGACGAAAGAAGGCTTGTGAAAAGTAATTGTATTTATAGGTGAGGCCGATGTATATATTAAACAAGTTTTGTAAAAAAAAAATTAACAGTTTGTAGGTATTATCTGAAAGGTACACCTTTAAAAATCAGTTTTATTTTCTGGTTTTCTTCACACAAAAATTTAAAGTACAACTCTTGACACAAAAAATTTTATATGCAAGATCCAAAATTTTTTATAAAAAAAATTTCTAATAACACGCTTCATAAGTATTTGTTGTTTTTGCACAATAATGAAAATATAATGTTACATCCATCGAATTTCAAGCTTAATAATACTTAACGAATGAATCTAATTTATTGGTTTTTAAAGATGTACCAGTCCAAGACCTGTGGAGTGCCTTTTTTAGATTTAGATAGATCGCGATGTCCGTGCCGTTGCATCAAAATAGTTTTAGTGCCATTTCGGAGTAATATATTTAATGTTCAAATACATATATAAAATGTTATCCTTTCATCCAATGTTGCGGACATCGTCGATGACAATGAGAAAAGATGGTCTAATATTAAAAATTGTAAATATTTGTAATTAATGTATATGTATTTTTACATATCAGAGTATATCTAATCTAACTATTTTACACAGCCAAAGTCGTTGTGAAATTTGTTTCGAGGAGGGGGCTGGTTTAGAGGGGTCGACGAATTTTTCATTGTTTTTACACGATTGTTGCCTTGTTATTTGAAGATGGGAATGCGGGGATACGTTTGGTCCCGCGTTTCGCCGATTTTTTTGCTATTTTGGTAGTGTTTTGTAGTTAGGAGAATTTGTAAATAAGATTATTAATAGATGTTATAAGTATTAGTTGAATTCATTTATTATTATAATAAATTGGATATTTTCTTTGAAAATGTTGTTTTACTAGCATCATTCCTTTATACAGGATGTTTCAAGGCAATCATTGCAGAATGGAATAACTTGGTAGGTACAAAATTATCACCTGAAAAAGTTCTGGGCCAAATTTGTAGATACATGGTGATTTTCATTAAATAACGGGTACACAAAAAAAGAAATGTGGTCTATTCCGAAGACTAGACCTATGTATCCTTACGTAGGTCGCTCGGTAAGTCTTGCCGTTCCACTATAAAATGTTACTGTTTTTCAAAGTGTATACTGTCACTTATTACACACATGCATATGCTCAAACTAGTGATTCCATTTCTCTTCTGAGATGGAAGCGTAACATTTGTCCCAGGCAGCTAAAATCATCTGAAGAAAACTTGCGTCTGTTTAATTTTTCACTTACAGAAACAGTGAAGTCACTGGGCGCTAGATGGGGACTGTAAGAAGAGTGATTTAACAGACCGATACCGGAAGACTTCAGAAAATCTACGGTTCACTTAGCGCGATGAGCATTATGATGCAGCAGCCAAGTGCGCAGTTAGCATTTTGGTTAGTAATTCTTGAAGTGTACTGAAAAGCGGAAGCAAAGACGATTCAATATACCAATCTGCAGTAACAGTGTGTTGGTTATTTGAAGGAATTGTTTTAATTATGACGAAGACCAAAAAAAACTACGATTATTTTTTTCTTGACTGAACGTGACTGCTTAGGAATATTCGGATAGTCTTCACCTTCAAACACCCATAGTCATACTTGTGATTTTGTTGGTACATCATGATTGATTCATGATAATACATAAATCCAAGTTTCGGCTCTTGTAATAATTGAAGACACCTCAGAAGAACGTCCAGATTTGAACTTTATGAGCATCTTTTTGCACCATTTTACACAAAGTTCCCTTTCCTAATCAGTTAATTTATGTGGTACAAAAAGTGTACAAACTTTGCGTACTTCCAGATGTTCTTTTAAAATTTTATTTACGGTCCATGCAGAAATGTAAAGGTTTCCTGGATTTGTTTATATGTGATTTGGCGGTCTTCGCAAATTAGTTTTTGAAGTGGCTATTGTTTCGGGTATAATCACTTCGCTCAACTGGCCCGGACATGACTCGTCCTCTAATTAAAAAATGTCTCTTTCAAACTGTTTGTACCATCGTTTGATAGTCCTGAGGGATGCAATATCACCCAATAGACATTACATTTTTCGCATGAATTTGAGACTTCGTGAGAGACGCCATACTCGCACGCTTACACCTTGTTAACCTTGTTTACTCAATGCCTAGGCAGCTACACATGAATATACATACGTATATGCAGATATAAAAATAAACCGTTTTAGCTTTTGGTATTGTGCCAAACAACAAGACTTACCGAGCGACCTCCAAATGTATTTTGATGGTTGAATCTGAACCCGGGGCCAGAATTGCCCCATCCCTCTCCAACTTTTTTTAAATCGTGAAAAGTCTCCCTTAAATACATGTATTAACTAACAAACATTTGTGCAAAAATAAGTACATCGAAACTCTTGCAAAAAAGGTAGTATTGATAAGACTCGAATACTCGCAAGGTTTTTTTTATAATTTGATTTTTAAAGATTGGTAGTAGATTTTATGAAATACATTTTTTGTTAAAAATTTCTAAGAATATTGTGATTTTAAATGCGATGTTTTCGTAACTTCAATTTTTCGTAAAATGCATTGCCAATTATTAAAATACAAATTCAGTTCAGTCTTTTAGTAAATAATGTAAATATGTTACACAATATAAATTTTCGTCTAATGGCATAGAAAATTGAAAAATTCCATTACAAAATTGTATGTTTGTTGCAAAATTAAAAGAATTAGAATTTTAGCCTTATTCAAAAAATTATTATTTTGTTGTAGAATCATTTCATACCAGTACAATATATGATTCTGAACAAATAATTCTGAACAATAAAGAAATTTTTTCATTTGAGAGCCCGTTTTATGGGGATCTATACATAATGGGACACATTGTATATAGATCGATATATATCATAGTTTTGATATAGGACTTTTTGTCCCATAAAGCTATGTCAACGTACCAAAGTTTAGCAAAATCGCAAAAATCCTTTTAAATTTATAACAAGAAACAATCTAAAATTGACATTTCACGGCTGTCTAGCGGTAAAACTAATTACAGTTTTACATGGTCAAGGAAATTAATTCATAAATTTATTGAAATTAGTAACGGCCAAAATAAATTACAAATAATCATAAATCACCCTGTATATCAACAAGTTTTGATCCAGCGCTTTATTAAATCATATTCAAATAGCTTGTCTCAATCTGCAATTAATATGTACAGCTAGCCGTGAAATACTCTGTGTTAATAAATTCAGGCTCATAAATATTCATGCTTTAACAACAAACATTACTCCAGAAAAATGTAAGTTGAAGGTTACCACCTAGATAAAACATCGGATTGAGAACTTGTATTTTTACACCTTAAATTTCACAAGCATTAGAGCATTACATTTTTTAATATACAGATACAGCCTTATAAAGTAAAACCAGGAAATTTAGCCTCCATTGGTTTCTGGATATCCAGGAGCAGATACATAGGTCCTGCAATACCTTCATAGAGAGACAGAGGACGATCTGGGGGATGTTCTTCATGCTCTCTAGAGTAGGCTAAGCACCATTCTGCGAATTTTATAGCACGGTACAAATGTTTCTCTTCCTAAATTAAGCAAATATTAATGTAATATGTAATGCTCAAGTTGCAAATGGTATGTACAATTCTAACCTTTGTGGTCTGGTACAATTCCAAGAAACAGTAAGCGTTTCCAGACACACCATGACAAATACTGTAACCTTTCTTTAGCAAACCCCTTTCCCATATTACGTCCCCACAATCCTGGGCCAATTGTAAATACATGGAGTCATGATATGCCTATCAAAAAAAAAACTATGTCTTACGCTATAATAATTTAAAATATAAAAAAACTAATAAAATATATAAAAAACTTTATTAATCTCTTTACCTTATATGCTGCTGTGAATAAATATAAAAATCCTGGAGCACCATGGCACCATTGTACGTACTTATCACTGTCTCTCCCAAGAGAAGAAGGAAAGTTACCACTAGGAAATCTAAAACAAAGTAAATTGGTTGCAAAAATTTGTAAATATGCAGGGAGCGTCTATAGTATCATATGTTCAATATGAAACAAAATACAATCAAAGCTCCTTATTTGCGGTTCCCATATTCGCAGATTCGCTATTCGCGGATCAAAAAATTGTGACCACACTTCCTGTATTCACGGGTGAAACATTCTGTATTCGCGGACCCAAAACTAACAATACATATTGTACTTTTAGAATAATGTGTATTTATTTGTTAAAATAAACAAGTAGGTGTCAAAATATTTATTAACGAACAAATCTTAGTGTCGTGAAGACGAAAGTCCTTTGACAAGTCGCTGCTGATGCCGCTCTCTTACACGTGCCACTATGGCCTTTGATAAATATATTAAACTTAAACAGGGTTCATAGTTCAAAAGTAAGAATGAATTCCCTGACTTTTCCAGGTTTTCCCTGACTTTCAAAATAAAATCCAGGTCACTTGTAGTTCATTTTTACATACTAATTGGTGTTTATGCATTAAATTTTTTCTCAACTGGAGCCCATAATCTTTTTATACTCTAAGAACCTCTTATAAAGGTTTCAAAACCACAAATATTTTTCTCTTTCAAGAACCCAGGACCGGCTTTCACAAAATTTCCAGTTGCAAACATCAAATTCCCTGACTTTCATGAATATTTTTAAAATTCCCTGACCATTCCCTGTTTTTTATGAAGAATAACGAATTCCCTGACTTTTCCCGGTTTTCCCGGCCGCTACGAACCCTGTTAAAAAACCTGAGTGAAGGTTTGCGGACGGCAAGTGAGCTTTATGATTTTTTCATGAAAATATAAACAAGAAAGGGATATGATAACTAACAATCACTTTCTTAACGAACTGATAAGAGAAAACAACTAATGACAATGTTCTCAATTTGCAGAGAAAGCGGAGATCAGTAAATAATAAAAATAACAGAAAATGAATTAAAGTTGAATATCGTCCAAATTGACAACATATTTTTGCGTAAAATATGGTGATGTCTGGAGAAGAACCTCTTAGGTGTACTTACTTGTATTGTTACAATAAATTTGTGTTTCTCATCCTGCCTATTAATTATGTTTTTACCTTAAACCAGTAAATACTGCGTAAATAAAAAAAAAATAAATAAACTTTTGTAAGTTTTGATTTTAAACTCACAAAGTTCAAAATTTGTTATTTTTTTTTTGAAGATGGTTCAGTTTAGTACCCACGTTTATGAAACTTTTTTGCTATTTTCTAGCCCGTTTCTAAATAGAAAAAAGTTACCTTTGTGTGATAAGATAATCAATAGTAGGCTTAACGAGAGCATCCAACTCTTCCTGTGTTAAATACTCCTTCACTTGGAGAAGCAAATATAAAATGCCAGATAGTCCATGCGCTGCCCCCAGGTAATAACTGTCGTGCCACTGGTACATCAATGGACACTTAAATTTACCTGCCTTAGCCATATTTTGGCCGCAAATTAATATTGCTTCAATTACCTGAAATGGGTACTACATATTACAGAGCCTGGCTTAATAGTTATTGGAAATTCACCGATCGAATGAAATTATCATCAAAAGGTGGAGGTACTACATTTTTATTAGCATACAGAATGGCGAAAAGGTAGCCTGCACGTCCATATAAGTATTCGTTGGGTAAATCAGAATGCACGTGTAATACATCTTTTTCTAATGATTTTAGTCTAAAATGTGAAATATTGTTTGCTGAGTAATCTAAGTATGTCATCATTATGTCATATGTACCTTGCAGCGAGTTGTTTTACCTCCTCATTATTTCCTAATTTGTGGTTTACAACGATACCAATTGAGAGTGGTCCAGCATCGCCACAGAGAAATGTATGCCTCCTATTACGAAGTCTGTTCAATGACAGCAAATTTTTAGCCTCCTGTAATGATAAACACATTCAGACTCGACTCGATTTTTACAATGTTCTATATATTTACATGTAGGATTTCCACATTGTCAGGATCTTTTCTTAATTTCAGTAAAGCAATACCGGAGGTTCCAGTATACACTGAATAATCATTGTAATCTAAACACTGACATTTATTTAATGTTGCCTGCCATTTGGCACTTAAATTGCAAGATATTTTACATTTTTTACTAACCTAAAACACAGAAATGTGTGAATAGATATATATTCTTCAAGTCATATCCGCTACCAAATTATTTTCTATAAGTTCTTTTGCCACCTCTCTCGAATAATCATCAAAAGGATTTCGAAAATACTTTTCTGGCATACCGGCTTCTTTTTTTGTAAAAACTTGTTTACTAATAAATCTGAAAAATGCATTGACATTTGACAAATTTGCCATGATTTTTGTCCTTATCTCGCACACGCAATCACGCATGGGCGACACCTGAGGTGCTTTCGTTTTGGCAAAAATGGTACCTAATAGCAACTAATATCAGTTCAGAGTAACACTAAGTTGCTATTAGCTGCTGATAGCTACTATTCTTGCCAAATCGAAAGACCCTCTCACTAATAAAAATAAACAATTTGTACTTTTTTAGAACTTTTGTATTTGTCATTTTCAAACAAGAGAAAAATAGAAAATCAATTACAATAAATGCCTTTACAGCGTTACAAATGACATTTTCTGACATCGTTTTTCTTAAAAGACTTACCACAAATTAAACATTTTAAGTCTTTATAAATTATTAGGACACAAGTTCGACAATAAAAATGTTTGCATGGAATTTCATACATTGTTTCAGTTTCCACTTTACACCTTGAACACAAATTTTTGTCACTATTTTCACTTGAAAAATTAAGAAAACTGGGGCTTTGTTTTGTTTTTGAAATTAGTTCATCTAATTCGTCAACGTCAACAGTCTCCCTTTTCCTTTTATTGCAGCCATTTAAAGAATTCATAATCTGTCCACTTCCACCTAAAGTACGTTTTACATTAGCCAATTCTTCTCTGTGGGAGTTTTGTAGAAGAAACATGTCGATTCGACTCTTAAGAGCAACATTTAACACAGGTTTGAGGGTATTTGAAAATTTTACACCTGTAAATGGGTCACAAGGTTTCCTACCGAATGAAATTTCACTGTTTATATGCTTTTCTAGGGTAGTTTGATCTATAGTTTTACCGCTAGGTAGTGTCATTGGAATTGACATTATTTCATATGTCAAATCATCTTTAAAGTCTTCTGGAATTTTGAAGTCAATACATTCAGCATTTGTAATATTGCTAGTTGCATCTTGATTGGATTTTTGCATGATACGACTAATTGTATCTCTTGTTACAGCAGAACAAGTCCTTGAAGTTTTACCCCACACCTCTACCGAACTTAAACAAGGTACTGATTTTTCTGTACGAAAAATTATAATTTTTATAGTACTAGCATTAAGAAAATAGCTAAAAGTGTTACATTTAAAGAAAGCTAAGTGAAAATCGGAATTGAAATTAGGGGGTAAGTTGTTTTTAGAATACATCTTGCTATTACAAAAAACTACCCCAGGATTATCATAAACAGACTTGCAAATGGAGGTGTAAGTAACAGAGGAATTTTTTGCAAAAATTTCAATACCTGTACATTTTTGGGATCCTACAGTTGTATTTAATGTGATATAGTGAATATTTATAGGACAAATAAATTCAATTTCTATTTCCACTGGAGGTTTAATAGCCGAATAAGCTATAAATCCGCGCATTCTGTCTGCGTAATTGTCGCTTATTATGTTGTCTATTTCATAATTATCCATTGAGGGTGATCTGCAGGAGATCTTGGGAGATAGTTTTGAATTTAAAAAGTTAAACATTTTCCAACTGTTTGTATTTGAATTTGTCCAATCAAAACTAGCGAATGATTCCAGATCCTTAGTCAGTCGAGTGTTTGGTATCATCAAGTAAGTTAATAAATAATTCCTAAAATAAAAAAGATAACACTTCTATATTTTGTCAACAAAGTAGTATTTTTTTACTTACAGTAGTCATTTATGATCTCTTATATTAAGTAATCCAAGAATTTCAAATTGATTTTATACTACAGCTTGATCATCTTCAACCACGTATTTTTAAATCCACCGTTAACCGTTAAGCATCGAACTCCACATCGGGGTCAGTCGTGAACAGAAGAAAGCTCGGAATGTAAGTTTCTATGCTGCCGCGATCATTTTATGGAATTTATTTGTATTTTTTCATGGTACATTGATTATTATAATTATTTAAAATATAGCTATCTGCTGTTAATCGTTTTTGGTGAGTTTTTGACTTATTTTCTAATTATAAGGAACATTCACAAATGAAATTAGCTAGTTTTGGCGGTTAAAACTAAAAGTACAGTGGCTTCAGGAGTCCTGCAACCTGCAACATTTGTCATTTGTCCTTGTAAGTAAACACAATTGAATAAATTGGACGTTATCACTTGCACTGTTGTATTGTAACACAAATACAAGTTTTTATACAAATATACTACACTAGTTCTTTCTTTTAGTTTTGCTTATAAACACGAGAAAACTAGATAAATTTATATCGAATGCTTCTAGCCATCCGACTCAAGTATTATGTTTTACTAAGTTGGTACTTTGTTGTTGACGGTTGACGCTGTCAGTTAAAATATTGATTAATGAAATATGGCTTGTTTGTAATTTTGTTAATTGTAAACATCAAATTTCAGAATCCGAATAGTTTAAGTTTTAAAAAGTAAATATTGTACAAGATGAGTGAAGTGGAGGATAAATATGGTTCACTAATGTTTTTTCGGAAAACCGGAGAGCCGGGTACTTCTTATCCACTGGTTAAAGGAAAGACTTGTATAGGTTCCTCCATTGATGCTAATATTCGTCTGAAACTAAAAGATGAACGTTTGGAGGAAATACACTGCATTATAGACGTGACCCAAAATGGAATTGTAAGTAAACAAATTCATAATGATAAAATATTAAGTTACACTTTATTATTTTTAGGCTACAATACTTAACAAGTCCCGTGTATTCCCTATTTGTGTTAATACAGTCTCCGTCAGCAAATTTAAGGTTCTATATAATGAAGATGAAATAGATTTAATAGGGAAGAAGTTTAAATATGTGAATGATAATGTATCAAGAGAGGTATAGTTTGAAGTTGCATATATCGTCGGAAAATTTAGTGAATGTTGGAATTTTTATTTCAGGATGTAGAAAAGCACCAGGCCTCTTTAAGCAAAGCCATAGGTACTCCATTGAAAAAAAGACAATCTGTTGCCCCAGTTGTTAACATACAAAGTACAAAGAAAACTCCAAATTTTAAAACCAAAAGTACAGTACAAAAAAAGCCAATAGCAAGAAAGTCTTCTAATGGGTAATTATTTTCAGATATATTTAATATTTATCAGAGTCGACATATGTAAATTTGTGATATCAAAAAACATTGACTTCATTTGATACGATGTTTTAATAGAAACTCGGGGAGAAATTTTTTTCCATGATTGTTTTTCTTAAATTAAATTCATCACTATTAAACACTATTGTAATAGAAAAAAAGCATGAAACTGCATGTTTCGTTAATACAAAAAAAATAGTTTGGTTTATATCTCTGAAACGCAACATTTAATTATTTAAACATTTCCAAAAACTTTTGTTTTTTTCCATCTTTTTCTACATAAGAAAGCAAAAAAACAAATAAAATTTAAAAAAGTTATATAAAATATAATTCCATTCTGGTAGGTGCTTCTTTTATATGAAATATGTTCCAACAACAAAATATTTATATTAAAAAAAAGAAAAATTTTGCCGTCACTGATATTTACTCTCTCAATTTTTAGAAAAGGCAGAGAATCATCGATGCCAGAAAGAAATCCAGGCAAGAGTCGAGACTTAGAAAGACCTAAAACTACGTACATAACTAGAGATTTTATTATACAAAAATTATATGCAGTTATTTTTCAGGTCAAAACTAATTGTTTCGAAGGCACTTGCATCACCTAAAAGGACTAAAAGGCGACGATTATCCTTAGATGACAATTCTACGAAACTAGAAAAAAGTCTCCAAGTGTCTGAGAGGAATATTTTACTTTCTGAAAATATCATCTCATCCACTATATCCGAAGAAGAATGTGTACCTTCAGTATCTCAGTTAAAAGCCGATAATGACGCTGCTGATTTCTTGGACATAAGCAATAGAAGTTTGTCGGCATCTGAAGACCGGCGGTTCTCGATAAGAACTCCCAGCAGATCCTCTATTAGGATTAATGTTATAGAACCTACGCCAAAATCTAAAATATCTAAAACTCCTTCGACTCGGGCCAAAAGCGAGACACCAAAAATGATAAACAAATTAAATTCAATTGAAAATATAATCAAAACTCCGATGAAGCTGGAATTGTTGAAAAGAACTCCAAGTTCAACAAAAAAAATGAGAACATCCGTAACCAGTTCTAATTTAGGGGGAGTGGAAGCAGCGTCAGAATATTCCAACGTGGAAGCACCGTTATCTACAAAAAAAGTTGTGCGAGAAAGTATCGGCACTCCCAGTCGTTCAAAAGTTTCTTCACATCAAACCTCCGAAACAATAAAAAGAAGACAGAAATCTGTCGGAAATATTCCAGCGCATGATAAATCAATGTCTACGAGGAGGAAAACTGAAGGCAGTGAACCAAACGGCAATGTTATTGATCAACAGACTGTAGCCAAAAAACCCTCGACATCTTTCAGGAAAAGTAATATTTCCAGTGTTGACAGCGCAGATTTGTCCGAAGACATGGAGATTTTGAACCTTTCTGATTCTTCTGTTTCTCCGATTCCACCCAGGACAGGCTTGTCAAGTACAGATTCCGATCCTTTCGAGGAACAAATTCCAAATGATCCCCGTCTTTCACTCGGAAAAGCTTCCCCGAGAAAATCTATACGGAGGAGTCCACAAGCCAAACAATCTTTAAGGCGATCTTCAGAAATAAAACCTGTAGGAGATGAAAAAGATACTTCTGGGAATTTTCAACAGTCTGTTCCTGAAGAAACAGGGAAGAATAGTCTCAACAGTTCTGGGTTGAGACGATCGATGCGTAGAAGTAGTGTGTTACAGGAACGAGGGAAAGAACAATATTTTGATAAAAAGGCAGAGGTAAATTTATTTTTTTTTATTATTGATGGGTAGTGTTTTCGTAATTCTTGATTAAAAACGGGAATAAATGAGAACAAATCAGCATAAATGCGAAATATTTTTATAATTTTTGATGCTGATGAACATTTTCATTATTTGTGAACAATCATCAAAATTAATCAATATCTATAAAAGCAATATTAAAAATAGTAGTTATTAAGTGTCAAGTACCATTCATATAGTTAAAAATTTGAGAAAATTTGGTAAAAGTTTTTGTTTTGTGTTACGTTTTAGCTCAATGTATTTTTTTTGTGCATGAATATTGCAAATATTTTCAAGCACACATCGAGAATGGTCTTACCTTTACAATACTATTACAACATTTTTACAACAAATTTGATAATATAAAGTAGATATACAACCAAAACGAAACATAATTTATAACGAGCGTTCAAATAAAAACGTGGTCAAGTTGGTTCTGAAAATTTGGACGTAGGGCGTAGCGTATAGCAAATGAACTTACTTAAACGTTATCTGTCAAAGCGCTATATCCCCGCTATCAATTTGAATATTTTCGTTTTAAAAAGCGTTTAAAATGTTTCTCAAGAACAAAAA